ACCCGCACACACCCGCACACACCCGCACACACCCGCACACACCCGCACACACCCGCACACACCCGCACACACCCGCACACACCCGCACACACCCGCACACACCCGCACACACCCGCACACACCCGCACACACCCGCACACACGCGCACACACACGCGCACACACACCCGCACACACACACCCGCACACCCACCCACCCGCACACCCGCACACCCGCACACCCACACACCCGCACACCCGCACACCCGCACACACACACACACACACACACGGCCCCGTTTTGAGAACCCAACGCGTTTGTGGATTAACGGAGTCCGAACAGGTGTCGCATGCTTCTCCTCTAAAACCTCAAAAAAAGACACCCATGTGGCTAATTGTTTTGGGCTCTAATGGGGAATCACCGCAAAAGGAGTGGGTGGACATGAATCCAGACGTACATGATGTCCAACAAGAGGTCAATAATTAAACATCTATAAATGTGGGAGCTTGTCTAAATAGGAATCGGTCTTCTACAATGGTGTTTCCGGTTTCATTTTGGCTTCCCTATCAATACCACCAGGTCCACAAGACCTGCATTACATGGTCAGCTTGGAATGAACATCGTCCCGTTTCTCAACGGACCCCGACCATTTACTTCCTTGTGGTGAATGTTAGTAGTGCTTGGGAGCAGGGTCCCAAGTATTCAACTAGCGTATGAGGGTTTGAACGTTTTGCTCAAATTGTCCCCCTGTGAGTTTGGTGGTTGTCGTCGGATGGCTTTCCAAGGGTCGGCACATTCTACCCTGAATGTGGAATTCCAAGGGCACATGTTCCAAGGGTAGGTGTGGGCGTGTCCCAATTTTAGGAATCGGACTCATCAAAATGGCAAAACGATGCAAAACGTCTTCCTTTGGTTTCCCTTGAATGCCTTTTTCAGGTTTAGGAAAATCAAAGGAAAAGCGCTCACAGCTTTGGAGGTTTCCCATCTACCACTGGCCTGTTTTCCCTTAACCTTTTGGATTCCCAGATTTGGTCCATGTTTGGTCAAGGTCCAAAAAGTGATCCATTTTATTTCCAGGTGTTGTTTTGCAAGTGAGACCAAGGTGAGGATTTGGGTCTTTTGGGACCCTTGAGAACAGGGTCCTTCTTGTTCTTCCTCTTGGTTTGACACGAATCTGCCGGCAGATCAGAAACCGGGGAATACCCCTGAAAAAAACCTTTTGGACCCTTGACCAAACATGGACCAAATCTGGGAATCCAAAGGGTTAAGGGAAACCAGGCCAGTGGTAGATGGGAAACCTCCAAAGGTGAGTGCTTTCCCTTTGATTCCCTAAACCTGAAGAAGGTATTTCCCGAAGAAAGGCATTTTCAGGGTGGCCGATCAGTATCATGGTTGTTGCTGGGAAACATTTTACATTTTGCTTAATGTGGTGGTTGAGATCCCCACTTAACTGCTAAAACTTAAGTTGTTGCTTCCCTTCAAACGTCAACTTCAAGGTGTGGAAACCGGGGAATCTTGATCAGTATGGACACCTGGTAATTGGGAATTTGCATTGGGAGTGGCCACTCCTTTCATTGGGAGAATGAGTCCTTTCATTGGGAGTGGAGGTATGAACAGATTTCGGCATTTTCAGGGAATCCTGTCATCATCCATTTGCTTAAGAACATGCTTTATTGTCCCTTGCTGGTTTTAAAGGGAATCTATCACTGCTGGAAGTATGTTTATATTTTTTCCAGGGGCTTAAGCAGGGCTCCTTGAAACATGCTTTTTTCCACCAAAATAAAGTTGGAAACCAAGGATCCCTTTAAAGCAAATGGAAGTTATCGGGAGTGGCCCCAGGTCCTATTACGCCCCCAGCCTTCTCTTCACCGCTGCGGCGCCGCAGCGGGCGCCGCTTCTGCTGGGCGCGGCCGGCGAGGGCGACGAAGAGTGCGGGGACGGAGGCGCGGGCAATTGGGGGGAAGTCCTGTTTCAAGGGTACCCTTGTCTTGTTGGTTTCATAGCTAGGTGCCTTTACCAACTTTTTTGGGGGAGGGTTCCCCTACTAAAATAGACCACAGAAAAAAGGGTACCCCTATTCTAACCTCTCTACTGGAGGACCTAGGGTGCCCTTGTCTTTTTGGTTTCATAGGAATCCAAGGAAGATCCTCATATTTTTTTTAGGGCCCCCGAACCCGTTTGTGGGAAAGTCGGGAAAAACAACCCCCCTTCGGTTTTTCTTCGGGTTTCCAGCACAAAAGCGACACAGCCCAAACGGGGTTGTACTCAACGTTTGGGACCAGCTTACACTTCAGAGAACATGTATTCCAATCCCACAGATTTAAGGTACGTTGACCATGTGGATGGACAAACATATGCACCCCATTATTTGTAGAGTCTCATCTATCCCAAGTGGTGCAGGATTTCGTCCACACTGGGGCCACTTACCCAAATCCCTGTGACTTTCTGGGAAGGACCCAAAGTCAGTATAAGGTCGCAAAGGGTCGCCCCCAAAAATGGTTGGTATCCCTTTTGGTTTCCTTTTACCCCCCCCCCCCCCCCCAAAAAAAAAAAAACTAAACAAAAAAAGGCAACACACAAACAAACAAAAGACCGGTACCGCGAAACAAGAGAACCCAGTTAAGTCTCCTGCAAGCCAACCGTTGTTTATCGCCTCCCGCTACAAGCTGAAGTTCAATGGTACAATTGTTCCCCCCAATCAAAAAGCAAGCGTAGTACCAAGGATTGCAAGGAATGATTGATTTTGATCAAGGGGGTGTTCCACTCCCGTCTTAATCTGCCAGGTGGATCGTTCCAGGTTTGCATGAATTGCCAGTCAGTGTAGACCTGGGTAAAACTAAACCTTCATGTGCCATTGGCCTGCGAACAGAACTGATTAGATGTTGCGCACAAAAGTCCAGAACACCATTTGGCGTAGCAACAAGCAAACGTGGTCAGATGCTTCTTTCCATTACCAAGAAAGCACCGGGTGGGATATGTGCATAGTATATATATATATATATATGCATATAGAAGTACTATATATCTACGTATCCGTTGTATAGTGGTTACATGGCGCCCGCTAAAGCCCCGGGGGCGGTTTAAGGGCACTGGAAACCATCGTAGCCTCAAGCCTCTGGCTGAGTTGCGAGGTGGCATGAGCTATGACCCCCAGCTCTTCGAGGAGTTGAAGGCGATGTGGGGAACCAAGGATGCGCGCACCTTGCCGGCTGGGAGCAGACGCGGCTTGGGATGGAAGGTCTGGGTTTCCTTTTGAACAGAAAGCCAAAGGCTCGAGAGGCCCTTTGTAGTCCTTGAGCCAAAGTGAGCATGCTTGATTTGCGGGCCATGGTTATTGTGGATTGCAAAACCCATGCCGATCGGCAGCAGTTGGGAGTGGTTGAGTATTCAACTCCGGTTACGGAAAGGGAATGGGGCTTCAAAGCAGAGCTAGGCCTCCCCGACCAGGGCGTTCGCACAAACACGTTAAACATCAACTGGCCATGGGGCATAACCTACGGCTCCATTTTGGGGTGGATGAGCATCCATTTGCCACCGATTTTGATGTTCACTAGGGGTACCAGGGGTTTTGACCCACAACCAAATATGGACCATTTCTCGTACTGGGAACGCCTGTTGGAGCTGCTGCAAAGCGAAAGCTGCCGCGCGTGAGTGAAAGGAATTCCGGTTGCAGTGGATTCCCAGTTGCCTGTATAGTAGCTTTGGTGCATTTTGCTTGCATGTTAGGACTTTAACATTTTGCCCACTAATGGGTTTTCCAATTAAGCCACTAAAAGTTAAACTTTTAGGGGAGCGGAAAGCAAGCGAGGTAGGTAACAAACACAGCCTTTAAGAACCGAAAGGACAATCGCTTGCCTATCTGGGTAACTGGGATCTACTGGGGCTACAGTACAGACTCAGATTGTGGTTCGGCGCGCATTCGGCGCCCTGGACAAAAACGACATGGGTGTGTCCCCTGCAGGACAGGGTGCGCCAGCTGTTGCGTTAGAACAAGGCAACCCTTTTGGGTAGAGAAAGCGCAAGGAACACGACAGCGATTTTGAGCCTTCGCCTCTCACGATTCTTTCGAGCGCCTGCCTCATTTCCCCGGGGACTTGAAACTTGGAAGGATCATTTGGCTATGACTTTTTAGAGTTGGAAGCCACGTGGACATGAATCCCCATCCATTTCTGATGTCCAAAGGGTCTATCAAGATGTTGAAATTCGAGGGTAGACAAGAGCGTTCGTTTTTTCCTGACCTGTCCACTCAAGTAACATATCATCTGAACAAATCCAGATCCGATCGAGTGATGTGCTAAGAACCCGATCGTCATGCCCAGGTACTGAACGCAAGGGCTGCTTGGCCGGAAGTGGTGACAAGGGTCAGTTTCGTTGGATTGAGAGCGACATGGCGGGGGACAGGGTGTTGGGTTGCCACTTTCTCTAGTCTTCGGGAAACACGAGAACTCAATTCCCGGCAAGTCGCTGGGGCCCAGGTCCATGGGGGTCTCCTTCTTTTTTCTTGGGGGGGGGAGAGGGGTATTTATAGGGGTGGCCAGGGTTGTGGGATCACTCGGGGTTTCTCCAACCACTCCCGTGGATGTTTTCGGGATTTCCCCTCATAGGGGTTAGTCTTTGGGGTTCGGCCCTTGTTGTCCCACAGATTCGTGGATTCCATTTCCCAGCCAACCACTTCCGTGGTGCTCACCCACTGGTGGCTTCCAGGCTGCTCCATGCGGAACTTGCCGGGGGCAGATGACTGGGGGGTGCGGGCGGCCTTGGGCTTTGCGCGGCTGCAGCGGGCCTTTGACTTCCAACAGGAGTCGCTCCGTGCCGTCGCTTCAGGGCCTTTGGGCTTGCCCAGGGATACCACTGCCATGAAGGGAAGGACAACATGTAGGGGTTGTTGTTTTGGTGCCATTTGCTGGTTCCTTTTCTTTTCAAGAGGGAAATTAAAGGTGAGAAAAGTTTTAAAGACACACCCAAGAGTGTGTCTGAGGTCCAAGCCCAAAAGGACAGTACAGCATTGAGTGTGTTGAGTGGGTGGCTGAGTGGTCCGCAGCCCAGCAATGATCTGCGTCCTTTTTGGCGGAGGTTCTCCTCCAGATTTGCGGAGAAGTATATGGGAGATCCAAGGCAAACCTCCCCCACGGTTTCTCTTTGGTTTCCAAACATGCTTTCCTCATCGCCCCCTATCAAGGGCACACCCAGTATGACGTGTCTTTGGTCTTTGCTCACCCCCCGGAAACGAGGGTGCGCAGGAAGGAAGAGGTTTACGGCAAGCCAACTGGACATGACCAAAGATTCAAAGAAGGAGGCCATTCAATGGATATTCCCCATGGAAATTGGGTTTGAGTCCTCTTTCTTCGATACCACGCCAGCCTGCGATTTGATTCGTTGGACCCCTACGACTGGTTGGCTTCCCTTTGGGGCCTCCTGGTGCAAAAGTCCTCGTAGGATGACTTCCAGTTTTCAGCAAGGTCTGGTTCAAGATCTGCACCAATTGAGCTCCATTGGCTGTACCATGCGGTCACGCCCCATGATAAAGGTTTGATTTTTAGGCAATGCAGGTTGGTGAGTTTGATGCAGATGTCTTGTGTTCTACCCCTATAGCTGTGCGGTTTGCTTTTGGTTCCTATGAGCAAAACACATTCCAAGGGGCACCAGATCTAGGACACAGCAACACACGGCAACGGGAGGTGGAGATCTGTTTGAAGTCGCACCCCTCCTATGGTTCTTGGAGGTCAGCAACAAAGACCTACCAACTGTGGGAGTCAACGAGTTCGAAGCGGGGAATGATGTGGAAAGTCTTCAGCCAATGTGGGTCTGATAGAACCAACGTCGCAACCCCATAGAACAAACTGGGTCTTACCTTATCCTGTTATGGGAACCAAGCTGGAGGGGTCCAACAAATCTTGGGGTCCTCAAGCCCAAAGTGTGGGAGCCTCAGATGAATCCACTCCTGGTTGACGAATATGGGGTGTCCCCTTTTAGTGCGGAAAACCGCTTTGGAGGGAACAGTGCCTTGTTAGTAGGCTTCATCACTCCAGGGTCAACAAAATTAGGTCCCCTCAGCTGCACCAGACCCCGTATGGGACTTGATTGCAGGATTCCGTGAAGAACCAGTTCGAGCACCTCATCACCCTGTGGCGGTCCCACTGCTCGGTGAACGCGGACCGCATGAAGCAGGCAAACATCGGCCTGGAAAGCATGGAGGAGGCCTGGGGCTAGGGAGCAGACTTTGAGGCCACCCCCAAATGGAGGATTTGCTGACCCAAATTTACACGTCCCTTAGGCTTTTGGTTTGGTCATCTTTTGAGACTCGGAGTACCCCTGTCATTGCTGGCCTTGTCCTGGCCAAGGCATCAGTGTAAAGGCTTCAGAGACTTTGCTCGTGTACAACAGCTAAACCAGGAGTCTGAAAACTTCCATGGAATCGCCTGAGAGAGTGTAGGTGGTGATTCTTCATGTGGCTTTGACCCATTTGTTACGAGGTTGTCTCAGTATGACTCATGTCCGCTTCAATGCCAATATTGCGCCAATGAGAGTATGGTCGTGGAAAGCAAGTGTTTGGTTTTTCTTCTTCTGAAGAAGAACGACAACAACTCCCTTCAAAATGACAAAGTACTCATAAGGATGGGAATCCGCCTTGCAAGGGCCCTGTCCGTTCCCAGAATGGTCCCATTGGAAGAGCTTGTCCCAATCGGTTGAACTTCAACGAAACCATGCGGGCGCTCTGAACGTTTTGCGGCTAAATCCACACCCAAAGGAAACCGAATTCCATTTAAATCCCTATTTGAGTGTGTCCTGTGGGGCTCCCCAAAATGGTGTTCCCTTTACTGTCCCTTTACCGCCCCTTTTGGGGAACTCAACCACTAGGTCCCCCAAAAAAGGTTCCCCTACTAAAATAGGCTACAGACAAAAAATCGGGTACCCTATTCTACCCTCTCAAATCTGGAGGACCTAGGCTAAGACATATCCATTTTCAACCTCCGGCTCAGCTTCCGCCCCGCCAGAAGCTGGTGCTGCATGGACTGCAGGAGCTCTACGAGGAGGGAATTCTGCCGGCGCCAAATCTGGCTGGTGCTCAGTTCCGGGTTTTGGAATAATTACTGGTTTTTGAGGGTTCCCTAGGTTAAGGGCTTCAAGAACCCGTACAAATGCCGTGTTAACCGTTTTTGGGGTGTTTCCCTTACCTAGGGCAGCAAGAACCCCTAAAAATGTTGTATGTGTTTTTTGTTTCCCCCCCCCCCCCTTCTTTTCTTCTTCTGAGGTATGACATGTTCATGAGTTTTTGTGGCTCCTGGTAAAGGAAATCATAGCCCCATAGCCTTCCCTGCTGCGCCAGCTCCAAATGCTCGGCGCAGAAATGTCCCGGCAGATGTGGCTGACGCTTTTTTTTTCTCGTTTGGGGGGGACCAGTCCCGGAGAAGGTCAACTTCAGCTTAATCCGACAAACCCTACGACAGGAACCCACAATAATCATACTGCAACTTACAATTCCCTATAACCCTTAGTTGGTGGTTTGGATTTGAAATCCCCTGGTTCTTGCAAACGGAAAACTACCTCCTAACCACCACACAACCAATCCAAACCACCAATTAGATGGAAGCTGATCTTTGGGAGTCTTTTTGAGGCTCGGTACCCGTTTTGGGCGTTTCAAAACCAACGGCAAAAACACTGTTCCTGAGGGGAAACGTTGGCAGTTTTGAGCTGGTTGGAATGTCACTTTCTTGCTGGTGTTCAGTCGGTCATCCCGAGTCCGGGTTTTGGGAATGAACCGGAAGGGGATTCCCTTAAAGAAAACCAAATCGGGGATTGCTTTTTCTCGGGGTCATTCCAATTCTGATTCCCTGCCTATCGAACAAGCAAGATAAACACATTTCCAGTGGATCCCAGTACTCTGTAAGGGAGCCCCCCCAAAAAGAAAGAAGAAAGAAAGAAACAACCGAAAATGGGGAGACGGACGGTGGGAAGCGTTTCCCTCGGTTACCGACCGAGTTGTGTTCCCATGTCGCGGCCTTTCCGGGCGCCGCTTTCTTCGAGTTTCGCTCGGAGGACCTGCTCTGCGGGTTCCGCGCCTGGCGCCGGGAGTTCCGGAAGTTCCACAAGGACCGCAGGGATCGAGCCGATTGTTCGCGTTTTTTTCCTCGGACCCCAAAAGCCGAGACCTTCAATTAAATAAGTCGGGTCGTCAGATGGCCATGAAAAAGCAAGATAATAGGTGGACTCATGTAACCATTACCTGAGTTTTACCTGCGTTTCATCATTTAACTTGGGTCAGGCGTTCTTAGGGGTTGAAGCCCTGGGGCGGCGTTCGTCGAGTTATCCTAAGGTTGTCAAGGGTTTTAGTGGGATCTCCCAGCATGGGGCCCTTTTGTGGCACACTTGGCAACCAACTGGACTTAGGAGGTTTGGCGTTTGCCAACTGGACTTCGGATTGGCTTTTGTGGAGCACAGCTGGACTTGTGCAGCCCGAGAATTGACGTGGGGTGTTTGTGTGTGTGTGTGTGTGTGTGTGTGGGGGGCACTTTGAAAGCAACAGGATGATGATAGCTAACGGTTCGGGGTTTTGCCATATTAATCAAGGGGTTGCAATCCAACTAATCAAAGAGTACAGACCAGCTACCTTTAAATGTTCTCTGAACGACTCTATTTGGGAACATGGGGAACTCTGTAAAATTCAAACAGCTAAACAACTGTTTGCTGTGGTTGGCAGTGGTTGGCCCAAAAAAACGCCATGTTAACGCAATGTACCAGGGTGTTATAACTCTGCTGTACCATTCCGTTTACACGGATTTCACCCGGAGCTGAGTTGGGCAATCTCAATTGCAGCCAAATGACTCGATCAAATGTTTGATGAGCTGCACCATGGACATTTGAAGAGACATGTTTACAGGGTAGCACTAGCAACTAAGACTTGGTCCTAAGCATCCAGCACGTTTTCTCGTTGTTGTTCGGTGTTGCTTGTTTTAGTGGGTTGTTACTTTGCTACTTGTCTTCTGCCAAGGATTGGAATATAGATCAGGAGCTTTAGGATTCCGGGTGGATCTAGTTGATAGCAGGGAGCCAGCAATTTTACCTCTAGGTTTTACATGATGGAGCCCGACTGGTTATTTGATTCCACTCGGGGACAAAAACACTGGGCTTCTCTCCAGATACCTATGGGTGTCCCCCAATGACAAAGCAGTCACGATGCGAATCCCGCTTTGATATCTCAGATTGCGGGTTCGACTAAACCCTGGTTGACTAAGAGTGCGTCTATACTAGATACAAATGCATATGGGCGTGCCTTGTTTCAGGAGACACCAAACTGGTGGTTGTTCGTTTGGTGTCCATTTCAACATACAATAAACAGGCGCTTTCAAAGCACAAACATACATATATATATATATATAATATAGTCATACATATACAGACATACATAGATGCATATATATATATAGAGGTATATATATATATATATAATTTATGCAATATATGTACATACCATTCTCTATATATAATCTATATTTAGATGTCCTCTGGCCACACGGCCAAGGAAACGCCGCACTTTCTAGACTCCGTGTCCACGCCCGTGGCCACACCTGTCCCGTCAGTCGAGGCCCAGGCGGGCTCGTGGAGTCCGAGGTTTGGGTTGTGTGAAAGGGACAACAATTGAGGGGTCCTCTATTTTCAGACAAACCAATTGCTGGGCAAGGGTTCTTTTCTTAGAACCAGTTGTGTTTTTGTTTTTTTTTTGATTGTTTTTTGGGGGGGAGGTTGTTTCGCTTTTCTTGGCTCACCAGAAATTGTGGCTTGTGCAGGCTTTTGGTGGGTGGCTTTTGCTCCGCACTCTGAGCATCACTGGCAAGTGGCCTCTAAACACCCGTAACCCAACCTTCAACCAACCCTAACCCCACCCTACAACCCACTCCAAGCCAATCCCAAGCCCGCCCTAAACCCTAAACCAACCCGAAACCTAGCGATTTGATTTGTATCTTTGAGTTTGCCCGCAACTCCACCCTAAACCAACCCTAAACCGGCCCAAACCCACACCTTGCTCGGTGTTGCGTTGCACTCGGCTGCGTTGTAGCAAACAGACACAGACAGACCCAGACAGACCCAGACAGACACAGACAGACACAGACAGACAGCCAGACACAAACAGACAGACACAATTACAGACACAGACACAGACACAGACACAGACACAGACACAAACACAGACACAGACACGACACAGACACAAAGAGACAGATAGACAGACAGACAAATAGACGCAGACAGATAGACAGACAGACAGATAGACAGACAGAGAAACAGACACCAGAGACAGAGAGACCAACAGACTTGACAACTTGCCGAGACTGCAGCAATGATGTGTCCTGAAGTGAGTGCATGTGGCTAGCAGCTTTGGCTCAATGATGTTCAATGCCTTGCAACATACCACGTGCTGCAACACGTTGCAGACGATGCCCTTTGTGCTACCGTCCTAGTTGCGCCTTTGTGTTGTCAGCCCAAAAGCCAGCATATCGTTGCTTCAGCCAGACAGCCAGACTGTTTCTGCTTGAAGGCTTGGCAGCTGCTTTACATTTGGACCCGCGATTTGCGCCAATGGAATGAGACAGCTTGCTTTTTAGCATCAACTCTACTTTAGACCAACCCTAAGCCAGCCCTGCAGCCATTTTCAGCCCAAACCCGAAATCAACTCTACGCCAACTGCAAACCTAGAATTCCATTTGTGTCCTTTTTGATCTTACGAAGAGGGCCGCGCGATCTTCACAGTTGAAAAGCAGGACATCTCGGTGAACCATGGTTTTGACCAAGTGAAGGGAGGGCTGGGCACTTCTGTACTTGCGTCTGCCTTTGAGGAGGTAAAACAGTTTTTGTGCGTGTTTTTTCGTTGTTTGAAAGAGAAACCAGACAGAACTCCGACTCTGTTGGGGGTTCCCCGAAACGCCAACGCACCGCAAGGGAAAATCTCGGCCAACTCCTTAGGTGCGTTGGTGCAAGATGGAGGAGAGCGACCAGCGTGTGCGCAGCGTCGCCGAGCGCTACGTGAAGTTGGAGGACTCGAACTCGCGCCCAAGCCCCTGATTTCCCTCTCAAGGAATCAAAGCCCAAGGATCCCGTTTCAATGCCGAAGCTTCTGGTGCTTTTCCATGCTGAAAAAAAATCGGGCACCTGCAACCTGCATGCACCCCTGAAATGGGTTCCTCTACCCAACAAGTTGGGTAGATGAGCCTAGTTTTAGGGGGCATGGAGACTCCAGCTTTGGATGGGTATTGTGGTGGACAACATACCAGCCCTGGTTTTCGCGGGTTGCTGTTTTGAAGGGAAGTGGACACGCCGGCAAGAACGACTCCGACGAGAACAAGGATCACATTCGATAAAGAACGTGAAGCAACTCAGGAACTTGCTCCCAGTGCGCGTTGCGGCCACGTCGCTCTGTTTTGGTTCGCTGCTTCTCTTAAGTCGAAACAAACGCACAACTTGCAGCACACCACTGGTTCGGGGTTCATACCGACACAATCACTGATCAACGACTCCTGAAGCAAGCAAAGACCTGCCAAGTTGTTCACAGGCAATCTGAGGAATGACTGCCTGGTACCAGAAGAAAATCAATTTGCGAATGGTGATTTTCCAAACTTCCAGTTTTCCAACAAGGCCTCTTCATAGGAAATGGTTGTTTTGGATACCACCATTTGTAACCGGTTGCTTCCCGTCTCTGAGCAAGCTGGTGGCGTCGGTTCATGCATTTAGCATCAGCGTTTGGAACACTTGAGTGTCAGATCCAAACGCTGTCTCTTCATGCTTGGTTGGGTTTGGGCTTTGGCGTGACCGCGCGTAGGAAGTGGCCATGTTCCTGCTGGTTTGGGGCGAAGCTGGCCACGCCGCCGCGCTTGCTCCGACTCGGCTTGCCCGCTAAAGTTGACCCCAGAAACATCAACCCCAGTTTCTTAGTTGGGGCGTGTTCCCCGCCAAAAGTGGTCTGATTCCTCACTACACCCCCCGAACAAACCGGGGTTGAATGTGGGGTTCAACTAAACCCAGGGACACCCCCCTACTCCTAAACTGGGGTTCATCAATATGGGGTCAACATTTAGTGTATTTCGGGTGAGGCAACCTCCGCTTCATGCCGGAGATGCTGTACTTCATCATGCACCTCATGCTGGAGGCCACGCCTCCCTGCGAGGCTGGGCGTGTTCGAAAATCCCCCCCAATTTGGGTGCGTGGGTTTGAGGGCTTCCACTCAAAGTGGTGTTCGGGTTGATTTTGAATTGAATCGCTTTTCCAAAACAAAGGCCATGACAGATCTTCTTGATGGAAAAAGGGCAATTGTTGAGGTAGAAAGCAAGGACATGCCTGTCATTGTGCTTACCTTGAGGGGTGATCTTTGGGTTGACCTTCAACCTTGTTGGCAGGCCCTTTGGGGTTCAAGAAGGGAACCGTGAGCTTTGATTCAAATCGGATGTGAGTTTCACAACGCGCAAGTCAGATGCAGTTGCGGGGTGTCCGTAGATCCGGAAAAGAGCCGAGGTTCGGTCGGTGCCACGTTCAGGTGAGAAAGGGTGTCAGCAACGTCTTCCTCGCGAAAATCGTGCGACCCATCTATCATGCATCCTGGACTGCAAGAGTGGGAGCCCATGAGTGTGAGCTACCCCCAATCCATCAACCTGAGGTCTCCTCTAAAACTCTACTCCTACTTTATATAGGTTCGGGTAAACTAGGTATGAAACATCGTCATATCTGAACCAGAAAGTATGTATTCTGGAGTACCCCAGGCGTGGGCCAAGTAACACAAGCTAGTTTGAACCTTTTCCTCAAAGACCTCTGGTGCCATGGGCACTTGTGGGAGCCCGGCTCAAGTCAAAGGGATGTTTGCCCATCGGAGGCTTCCCAAGATTTGAAATTCGATTGATTCCTAGGCAACGGTTTCCTGTTGGTTTGCCTTTGTCCAAACAGGGGGGGCACATATTGGGGGGATTTTTCTCTCTAAACCAGCCCGGACAAGGGTACCCTAACAACACACAGGACCTTGCCACTGCCTTCCTTTGTCAAAACAATTGCAGCTTGGTACTTGGCTGACTGGACGCTGAGATATGTGCAAGCTGCAACTTGAATTCCGCTGATTCGAGGTGGCTTTATGTAACACACGCCAATAATTTCGTTTGATGGGTTTGGCTGAGCTTTGATCACACCCTCTCCAGCCAGTCCAGCTATTTAATTTTAGGTGAAACACCCCTTTTCTTCTCGGCTCGAAGACAAAACCACAACTTGTTTAGCGGCTCTGGTTTCGTGTCTCAAAGACACAATTGAACCCCGGAACGCTGGCAAGGGGACCCTGCAAATGCAAGCAGCCGACCTATGACTATTCACATGCGTGTGTGTCAAGATAGGGTAATTACTCCAAAATCAATTGCTTTCCGTTGGTTTCCCTGTAAACTCCAAAAACCAGCAGCTCCAAGAACGACACCCCACTTGGGTCGACTCCTTGAATATCAGGTGGTACTCGCAAGGTTCCAAGTCCATAGGGCCTGCCCTATGGAACAAGATTCCTATCACAGTGCAGATGGTTCGCAATGCAGGTCCCATGGGCCTCTTCGATTCCAGCTTTGGCAGTATCAGAACTTCACATTGTGTACGTCTATTTGGGTGTTTCTATACAACGTGGGTGTGTTAGTTGTTTATATTTTCACCTTTCTCTGCAGGTTCGTGACCATAGGTGCCGCTTCTAGGTCAGTCTAGTTGAAACATAGACAGATTCTGTTTCAATTGTCGAACCTTTTACCGCCAAAAGGCCTCCCAGGCTCATGTTTGTAGCGCGGTGTTCTAAAGGGACACCATTCTGTGCACCCATTCTTTCAACACTTCGCTGGAATTGTGGCAATTCCATTTTCTGAGAAGAAGGATCTCGGAAGGGGGAGAACAGCTTGAATTTGCCAGGTCCGCTATTTAGATGTTCTCTCTTAGCTATTCAAGGGTGTATACCTAGGGGTAAGAATCCATACCTCGAAAATCAGTACATGAAACGCCCTTTGATTGGTGGTTTGGCAGGGATACTCCTAGACACCAGTTGGACAGCGCTACAGAAACTTGACCAAGCATCCATGAAACATATCGACCTGTAGGATTTCCAAACCGTTTCTTAGAGAAACCATTCGGAAGCGCGTGTTATTTTGTTTGTATGTGTTAATATAGGAATTTGGACCCCAACAAGTCCGGGCTATGCTTTGCGCGCTACACCAACCTAAGCCAGGGCAACTCCGCCTCAAACAAATGTGGGTCTGTCATTTTTGATGGTACTTTGTGTTTTGTAGTTTCAGCATCAACAACAAGGAAAACCACAATTGTTTGGGGTCCACTAAGAGACAGACCACATATGAATATATATATATATAAATACCCATATGAGCAGCGTTTTTTAATCAAATGAAAGGGTTTATACAAAAAGGGAACTGCATGTACTTTGCGGAGGCAATCCTGGTTGGGGGCGCAGGCTCGCGTAGGCTTCAGCGCGTAGGCTGTTGTGTCACCCCTCGCGTAGGCTTTTCGCGTAGGCGTTTGTTGAACAAATCATGACTCAGTGCTGTTTGCCAAGTATAAATGAATTTGCTTCTTTTGCCTTCCTTCTGTTTGTTCTGGAGTCTTCGCGTAGGCTCCGCGTAAGCCCCGCGTAGGCATTCGCGTAGGCTTTCAAGGCATTTTGGGTACATAGACCTTTTCTGGCAGCGAGATCCTTGGACAGATGCGGGCTTCTCACTTGTACTGCAATTCTGATCTTAGAGCCGGAGCTGCCAAAACTGCACTTGTACTGAAAAGTTGCGATTTTCCAGCTGTAGCTGCCACAGTGCACTTTGACACTTGAACTCAACATTTGCCCGCGTAGGCATTCGCGTAGGCACCTGGAAGCTGACTTGTGCTCGCGTAGGGACCCCTCGCAGGCCGCGTAGGTTTGCGTAGGCCTTCGCGTAGGCATGCAAGTAGCGTATAGGGCTCGAACCACCAAAAAAAATATGGGTTCCTCTGAAAATTCGGGATTCCCATTTCGGTTTCTCCTCAACCAATCCCACCAAAACAAAGATCCTTCCACAAAAGAAACACACTCATGTTTGTTCTCCCTGAACATCTCTTGGGTGAACCCTTTTGGTTTGCTTTCTCGTGGGGAAACCCAAAGGTAAATCACCGGTTTAGTCACTTTCCTATACAAACCTTGAAAACTCGCCATGTTCTTTTTTGGGGGGTGGTTCCTTTAAAGGAGCGGGGAAACCCGCAGGAAATCGACCGGAAGAGGGGGGGTTCCTTCTAAGAGCCGCAGGTGGTCTTCGAGGAGCACTACAAGGAGGTGAAGCTCGCAGGCACTGAGGCCACGCCGGAGCAGAGCCGCAAGGACCGGCCAATCGATCCCTGGACCCTTGGTGGTTCCCAGCCATCTGGCCCCTTAGCTCTTTAGCTTGGGGTTTAGAGGTCTTTTTCATTTAACCAAAAGTCAAACTTTGAGCAGGAGTTCTGAGGACAGCCCAGAAACCAACCACCAGGGTGTGGTACTCTTTCTTCATTTTTTTGCCAACCCGAAACAAATGAAGTTGTCTCAAAGGAATCGGATTTCAAGAATGGCCTATCGGCCTTTCCTGGCTTCCCTTTAAAACCAGCCAACAGGGACCACCCAATGAATGTTTCCCAAAATCGGGGGATCCGTCCAGGTGGTTGGTGTCCTTTCGGTTTCCCTACATACCAAACAGGGTGTCCCCAATTTTGAGAACTAAATTCCTCTGGGTGACACTCGTCTTTTTGGAGAATACCCCGAAATAGAGTGGTAAAGGAGAAACCAAAGGAAACTCAGCGTTTTGTTGACACAGCCAAAGGAATGTGGGTGGCTCGCAGGGAAGCAAGGAAACCAACCATTTTAGTGGACCCAGTTTTTAGAAACACCCTTGATATTTTTTTTTTTTTCGGGGGGCGGGGGGGGGGGGGGGACATTTGTTCTGAGGGTATCATTTTTACGGCAGCCTTTTGGAGGATATCCCGAATACAAGATACAACTGTGCTTTTTGACGGTATCTTCTTTGGGACTTGAATTGAAGGAAACCAAGCAGGAAACGAAAGGGGCAGACCATTACTTACTTTGTGTCCAGGCGCGCGTCATTGACATCAACATGTGGAGGATGCTTGGAGGATATCACGTACCCATGAAGTGGGGGCATCCAATTGGCAAGCACAATGTGACCATTGTTTCACACCAGCTTCATATTGCGTTTGAACAATACAAACCACTGGTACCATGCCCAGTGGAAGCTTCAGCTGTCAGCACCAGCTTCTCTTTGAACCGACCTGTTGGTTGACGTTACGAGTACGCGAGTAGCAGGAAATGTGCGGGCACTCATGACTTGGGCAGTCGTTTCCTCAATCAGAGGATACCAGCGGACCATACGGGAACCCTCTTTTGCTTGGCGTTGAAGGCAAACCATAAGGGGAAAATAAAAACAAAAACAATTTTGGCGACGCCTAATTTCAAGCCAAGCCCTGCAGAATTCCTGAGATCCTTTGGGCAGATGAAGCTTTGACAGGAACCACTGAGTCTCTTTGAAACCGGCATTCCTTGGACTGGCCAGGTGGAGAATCCTTTGCCCGCCCCTGTTATAAACCAAATTCGAGCCCAAAAGAGGGAGTGTTCGCCCTTTGAAAATTCGTCAATCCTCCGGCTTTGAGTCCAAACCCAAACCAACCCAAACCAAACCAACTCAACTCAACCCAACCCAACCCTTTTGTTGTGTCTCAGCATTCCCAAGTCTCGGGTCTGGCGCCTCGCGGCCTCGCGGCCTCGCGGCCTCGCGCAAGTCGCGCTCTCCCTGCCCAAGGCTTGGGGGAGCTGCTGCCTCGGAGCCGCTGGCAGTCCACCTGGGGATTTTGGGAGACGAAGTATGGAGATCCCCCAAGCCAGTGGTTGCCTGAACCTCCCCCCCCCAAACAACCAGCCAGTGGTTTCCCCAACCAACCCAACCCACACCAACCAACCAACCAGTGGTTTCCCTCAAAACCCCCCCCCAACCCCAACCAGTGGGTTCCCTTTGGTTGCTCTTCAAAAGCCACCCAAAGAGTTTTTTCAGGGGGCATTCGCAGGACGACAAGAAGCTGAAGGATGGCTTCGACCGGTATTTGCCGCCGGATTGCGACTTTGTCTCAAAGCCGTCAGAACCCCCCAAACCTCGCAAATAAACAAATTTAATCTAGGGGTCCTTTAAAACGAGTTTCAAATGGGTGTTTGTCCAAAAAAACCGCCCCTTAAAGTGGGCTTCCTTTAGGTGTCCCTTGAATACCAAACAAAGACACACCCTCTAGCTGCAATCGGGGCATTTGATTCCACACGATTCGTTTATGCTCACTTCTGACCAAGTTCGGTATTCAAGCCCCCACTTCTAATGGTTGACAGAACAAGCCTCAAAAACCTTGGATCGCCACCTCTCAGATTCAAAACCCTTTCAGGGTGGAGCTTGATTTTTGTGTTTGTTTCTTTCTGTTTTTGGGGGGAGGGGGGGGTTCCTCTTCTTTCTTTTCCGTTTCTTTTTGGGGCGGGGTGGGGGGGGGGGGAGTGACCTCGTTGCTTTCCACTAGGATTTGCATCCAAGCTACCTCTGAGATCACTTCTTGGTTTTGCGCATTTTCAGGTTCACTGATTGCTGCGAGGCTTGGTACCCTCTTTGAGCTTTGTTTACAGGAACACCAAAAAGAAACCCGGTCATTTTGCGGGGTCACCCCATTGGGACTCACCAATATGGACCATCTGTGTTGTTTTTTGTGTTGGGCGCATGCGGAGGCAGTAGCCCACTCTTTCCTCAGGCTTGGATCCAAGGGCCGAAGGGATTCGTCTTTCACCCCGAGTCGGGGAAGATAGAAGTGTGCTCCTTCGTGCAAAGTTTATGTGAACACGAGACTACGAATGTTGGTCCAAACCGCACCTAGATGGCGGACACCAAAAGGTGCCCAAAGAAGGGCTGCCCCCTAGCTAGGATCTTCTAGGGATCTTCTCTTGGCTCACAGGTTTCCTCTGGTCCTGTATCCATGTTTTTTGGAACTAAGGGTAAGGTTGGCAACTACATGGGTTTGGTTGAGTATCTTCCAAGGGGCCACCAGCACCCTCGGCACAGCACTGGATTTGCTGAAGCTTAGGTCCAAACCACGACGACTGGCCCGGGGCTCAGCATACGCTTTTGGGGATACGAGCGATGGCGCGTGTCCATTTGGGTATGTCTCAAAGGGAACTTCCATTTTGGGCGTTTCAGTTTCCTTTTGGCCTTTTGGCTTCCTTTTCAACCAACCCTTGGGGGTTACCTAAAACAGGACGAGCTACCCATGTATAGAGACGAGCCCATATTTTCTGCGGCATTGCAACTCGCCCCACATTCACCAGCTCTTAAGGCCCGAGTTGCTTGAGCTCAAATCAACATGTGCGGTGTCGGTTTGGCTTCCTGACCATGCTCCAAAAGCGTATCCTCAGCCATCCAGTAAACAATCCCTGGTATCCTGAGAAAGACACAGCCAAATTCCATCCAGTGGGTGGGGGCTTTTGAGGGTTGCCTTGGGTTCAATCCCTGAAGGACACACACGCCAAAAAGGCCCAGGCCTGAACAAGTGTTGCCAGATAGACTCCTTAGACCCCTCAGATTTTTCAAGGTTCAATCTAATTCGAACACCAGCCAAGGGTAGGGGTCCCTGTTTGTTTTTCAAGCCCCCTCTCACCAAAGAGGCAAAGCCATGATGTTTAAAGCTGCTTCGGTGGATATGGGGGACTGGTTCCCTCAATAAGGTTGTCCAGGTCCCCTCTGAAATGGAACAACTCCCCCAAAAAGAAAAAGCAACAACAGCCTGGGGTGCATTCATCCGGGGTTCCCAGGGAGCAAGCGCAGGAGCTTGAGGAGCACGGTGAACAACACGGAAATAACACGGAAAGCCAAGGGAGTTCGATTCCATTTACCTGGAAAGGTAACCATGAAATGTCCCAGCCTCCCTCACGGAAAAGGGATCCTGGCCACGATTCGGTGGGAAAGGGGGTCAAACCAGAAGTTTGTGTAAATAATGATTGCTTTTCGGGAGCCAATGTTACCCGCAGTGCAGAGCAAGTAACCCTTCGGGATCTATTTTCCTTTTAAATTTTAAAGGATTCCCTGGATTACCCGCTCAGTGGTGTTTGTTGTGAGTGAACACCGGGGGTTTAGCCAATCTATCCGCTGCGTTTATCCGGGGAGGACCCAGCATGCCGAACCACAGCTTGCGCGGTATCTAGAATAGTGGCCAAATCCTCAAGGAAAGCAAGGGGACTTGGTGTGAACATGTTTGAACTTTTTAGCTGCTGGACCCCCAATGGATTTTGACTTAATCGTGGTCATTGCCCTTAGGTGGTTTAAACCGGCGGTTTTTGTCCAACAGGAGCAAAACAGTACGCCAAGGGAGCCACGCTTCAACTCTAAAGGGAAGCAGCTGGTTAACCTTCTGTCCACGCTGCCGTGGAACCCGCCAGGAAAGATAACTGATGGTTACGTGGGATCTGATGGGATGGTTAGTCAATTGGGCTGGTTCCTTTTTCCCCCGTGAAAGCTTTGGGTCCTTTGCCAGACCTTTGAAGGATATTCTGATACATAACATCCACCGACATTTTCACCAATCGCCCCTGACATTTTGAAGGTTGTTTAAGCCAACGGTCCAGGGCGCCCGAATCCATTTTATGCTTCGCTGATTCCCCTATATTCCCCTTAGGTGGGTGGAGACCCAGGTCTTGGACCCCTTTTCTGATTTTTCCCATGTCTTCGTCCTAAATTTTCAAGCGCAGGAACCATGTTGCCACCTTTGGGGAGGATTTATCAGATGGGGCGATTCCAAGGATACCTGGGATCCACCGACATCTTCGTTCGAATCGCCTCATTTGGGACCTCTTTGTTTAAAACATCGGTTTAAGCCAACGACCCCGACTGGACCCCCTCTTTGAACTTGCCCATGTCTTCTATGGCACTTTGTAGGCACCGTCTTCCAGGCGGTCCGTCCAAGAAACCCGGGGGAACCCAATCTAGGATTCTCCAGAGAGGTGGGTGGATACCAAAGTCTTGGACCCCAGTTTAGTTTGGCCCACGTCTTCGGGATTTTCGTTCCATCGCCACAGGAACGAGCTCTTCCAAGACATGCCGCGGCTCCACGAGGCGCTGGAGGATCTCTTGAGCCTCCCCAGCACCCAGCGCTACCAGGGCCTCAAGCAGGCGGCGCTCGCTGCGGTCAGCGCGGTCGCTGCGGTCGATGCGGTCGGCGGCGATGCGCTTCCCGGGGTTCAACCCACGTGGAAGCCGAAGGAACATGGTTTTTCCAAGGCTTACCGCTGGTGATTTCCACACTCTCCCCGACCCCCAGGGAATTGTTGTGTTTTGATGGGTGGTTGTTTGTTTGTTTTTTTTGTCGGAGGGGTGGGGTGGGGTGGGGGGCGGGAAGGCCAAAACCTAAGATTGTGCTTGCCGCGTTTTCAGCTCTTTCTGGGTTTCGAGGGGCAACATCAGGGGGGGCCCTTCCCTCCGCCGTGTTGAGGTCCGGGGCATTCATGTTTGATGTTCCCTTTAAAGCCATCGTTTCAAAGATGCTTCTTGGAGCGACCCGGGTTTATCGTATATTTTCCGCTTCTCGGGTGGCTTTACAGATCACCTTGTGCTGTCCTTTTGGGGTGATGTCCTTTCGGGGTGATGTTAGGTTGGAAACCATGGCAACCCTGGCAACCCTTGTGGATCCGTGAACTAAGAGATGGGAGGACAGCGTCCAAGGGTAGCAGCTGATTCACTGATAAAACCTTGAAAGCTGGTTTTGAGTCGCGCAAAAAGCAACGACCAACTCAGCAAACAGCTATGTCGCATCCAAAAGGAACCCATTTGGGGTTGTCCCTCTTTTGAGGGTACCCCATTTTGTTGATTTGCAGGGGAAACCAAAAGAAAAGCCGGTGCGCCATTTTGGGGGCCCAATGACACGTCAAGTTTTTCGAACCCTTTCAACGGGCGAACCTGGGATCCGCTGACCCGATCCCCGGACGCGGCAGGTGGATTGGCATGTGGCCCTCCAGGACACGAAGACCCACCGAGAGCTGCACTCCTTTTGGGGGGTCTTTGCGGCGACCCACCGGCTCTGGTTCCTGCACTTGCTGCCCCTTGGCCGAGTCATGTTCGCCCCGGATTAATAAACTTTTGGTTGATTTTGATCTGGGGGTGTCGCCTTTTAGTGGGGATTCATATTTTTTGGAGGGAACACCTCTTTAATAATGAGACGGGTTTCTTAGTCCTGCGTCAACATGAATGTTGACCATACTATTACCCCAGTTTGTTCATAGGGGGTAGGAGGGAATCATCACTTTTGGCGGGGAACACCCCTATTAATACACAGGGATTGACAATATGGGGTCAAAATGATCATGTTTTGTTTTTTTTTCATGGATTTTCTCGGAACATTCTAGGGGATAACAGGCACACATGCGCCTGCGTTCGTGCGTGTTTTTGTGTTTATGTTTGTGTCGGGTAGCCAAACAAGTGACAGGCAAGCTTTGGTGTGTGTCTGTGTGTGTGTTCTTAAATTGTTCTTGCAGCGGAAGCTGGGTTTTTGCACCAGATGTTCAATCTGACAGCGTCGAACGTTCAGCTCTGCCTACTTCAATTAAGAGCCTTGTTCGGCTGAGCCAATACTCTATGGGCCTGCCATTCGCACCTTGACTCGGAGAGTTGTGGGCCACATGCCCAAGTAGAGGCAAAGAGCTCCTGCTAATCCTGCTTCTGTGTTTCTGCAAGTCTCTCACACGTCTACAGAGAGAGAGAGAGAGAGAGAAAGCTTCCTTGAGAGAGCGTTTTTTGAAGCGATAGTCTCCACGCGTCCCGTCGCTCCATTCCGCTAAGCCATCCATCCGCTTGCCCTGGAGGGAAGACGCGCTGAAAAAGGTTTCCTTAAGAAGTCTCAGGGGTTTGAAGCGACTCACGTATTTGGTTCCAGAGATGCTTGTCCGGCGCCTACAAACTGTGCCAGCCTCTCGCTCGTCTCCAGTCTGCCATCCTGCAACCCTGAAATCCTCAGCCCGCTGCACTTCGCTGGGCGTTCGGAGAATGCAACTTCCCGCAAGGGGAGACACCTTGTTCAGCCCTTTCGTGAAGTTATCGTCGTTTTCCACGAAAAGCTGCCGTTTCGTGACGTGTTCACCACCAACGGCCGCATGTTGGCTGGGGAAAGTTGCATGGAAACACAGTTTTCCGACCAAACAGCACAAGCAACACACATTGGGATCCAGGCGGTGCCCTTCAACATGTGTTTCTTTGGTGCTTGGGTGCTGTCGTACATGCGCTGCAGGGAGCTTGTGGTTGCGAGCCATTTATATATGCGTGCTGTCCGTGCGTGTGTCAGTGTGTTTGTGTGTGCTGTGTGTCTCTGTGTGTCGGCGGTCGGCGTGTCTGTAACCAAGGGTATACACGGTGTGGCATCCAGCAGGCCGCGGTCCCTCCAGCAGTCGCTAGCAAAGACGCTGCGGAGAATGTGAAAACCATGCGGACGCGATGTGTACCTGCAAAGCCTTTGATCCGTTCATCGGTTTTCATATTGAAGACTTCCGGTTGGCAGGTTTTGGCAGCTTGATACTTTGTAGACACCATCATGCGCAACGGTCCGAGGATATTACAGAATGTGTTTGTATTTGTGTTTGTGTCTGTGTCGGTCCGTGTCCGTGTCTGTCTTTGCGTGTGTTGCATTGTCTTCTGTTGTGCTGCGTTGCATTGTGTAGTGTTGCGTTGGGTTGTGTTGCGTGTTTGTCGTTGTGTGGTTGTGTGTGTGTGTGTGGGTGTGTGTGTGTGTCTCTGTGTCTCTGTGTGTCTCTGTGTGTCTCTGTGTGTGTCTCTGTGTGTATGTGCTTGTGCCTGTGTCTCTGTCTCCGTCTCTGTCTCTGTCTGCGTCGGCGTGCGTCTGTCTTTGTGTTTGCGGTTGTCTTTGTCTGAGTTTTGTCAGTGCCTTTGTTTTTGTGTTTGTGCCAATTCTGCGTCGTTCGCCAGAGAGATGCTTTGGGATTGGTACGCACTGGACTCAACCCTTTTAAGTTAAAGCCTTTAATGGGGGTATGAGGAAACCAACAGGGATTTCCAAATATAGTTCTTTTGGTTTCCCTGAGCCTGTCGGGTTCCCCACAAAAGTCGCACCCATCCCGAGAGCCTGAGGTTATTCCTCCTCTCTATGTTTTGGGTCTCGTCCCGAAACTTCAGCTCCGATGCTTCAGGCGGGACGGGCGCGATGCTTCGGCTTTCGGATCAGCGGTCTCCTTGACCACCACAAACTGTCACTTGCAATACGTTTCTTTCCCCCCCTCCCAACCACTGCTTTTAGGACAGTACTTGGGAATTTGGACTTGGGACAAAGCACTGGTTGTTATCATTGTTGTTTGTTGTTGTGTTCTTTTCTCTGAGGGTAGCTCAACTCGGGCCATATGTGCAACATGTGCGCCAACCTAGCACCTGTCAAAGGTGCCCTACGAACATGCCCTTTGGGTTTTGGTTGACATGAAGTAAGCTTCGCCTGCCTTGGCTGTCTCCTGTTTCCGCTTCTCCGTTACGTTTGTTGTTTATCGTTTTGCTGCAATCGGAGAAATGGATGATACTGCCGGTCGAGGTCCATGTAATATCGGTCTTGCAGGTTGGTGGGTTCCCTCCAAGCCAAGTTGCGCTGCACAGAACGAGTGCAGGCGTTGATAGCGGGTTGCGCTGCTTACCAGCAAAACCACAGTGGTGATGCAGTTCAGACTGGTGAGCTTGCTTTGGGAATCCAATCACTGGCGATTTCGTTGCCCATTCATGGCAAAAAATATGGAGCAACGGAAAATGGAAAACGGCTTCACCATTTTTTTGTGAGACCCTACCAGCTGGAAGCCACCAGGGTCGTTTCTCTTAGGTAACATGTTTTATGCAATTGCCTTTGTCCCTGGGCTGGGGAACATAGAACCATTCAGAACAATTTGTCCACTTTGGGGGTGGTTGGGTCTCATTTCGGCCACGAGAATGTCCCTGAGGCTGGAAGGTTTGTACGCCCTTTTAGAAAACTTATTTGGACACAACTTATGCCACTTCCTTCACCGAATATTTACGCATTTTCCGGGAGCGAGTTGCTACAACGGTTGGGCAAGTCGCCCCATTTCCCCTGCTAGTTTCCCCAGATGCGAACATCCTCAGATGCGTCCGTAGCCCCCTCCCCGCCCCGCATGTTGCTCTCATTTTCCCAGCTGCGAAGGGCCAAGAGTCGAGAGGCGTGGACCGAGTCGCGCGAAAGCGCCAGGCTGGAAGGTGCTACTGGGGGGCAACTCGCCTTTGATCTGCCTCTCCGCGGTGGGGCTCTTGGTGCCTCTGCACTTCTTCGCCTGGAAGTTGGGCCGAGCCTCGAAAGAATTGATTTTGTTTGTTTTTCCCCGCGGGTTCGGTGGGTTTCCGAGGGTGAAGCAGCCAAGGAGATTTGCCCCAGCTTTGTTCGTTTTGAGGGTCTAGGTGTCCCCCGTAGTGCCCGTTTACCCTTTTTTGGGGGAGGGTTCCCCTACTAAGATAGATTACAGGAGAAAGGGTACCCCTATTGTAACCTCTCTACTGGAGGACCTAGGGATTCATCAAGGCAGGGCCGAATGAGTTGGAGAACAAGGACAACTGCTTGCCAAGTACGGTCAAATCATTGGCTAAGTCAGGCGAAACAAGGCAAACATGGATGGGGTCGGCAGGTTGACAAGCCTCATTCACTCATAGCAGTGTCTCTAAGTGATTCCTTTTGGACCTTTAAAGGGAACTTCTCTACTGGCCACATCTACGAGGGATCCAAACGTGTCCTGCCAGGACACACAGCTGAAATAAGGCACACCAAAACTGTTGCAAGTGTTTGGTGGTGGGGGGTGATTCCCGATAGGATTCCAGAACCAATGGAAGCGCACATTTCTCCAGACAGTTCTCAAAAAGATACTCCTTTGCTTCCCAGATGAAGAAGGATTTCCCCAAAACCATTCTATGGGAATTTCCTTTCAGGACCCTTTTGGGGGTCCGCAATAATTTGCACGGTTACTCCGTGAAAGGGACTCTTAGTGGGTGCAAGCTAACACTCGAAAAGGGTTCTTCACCCCTGAAGAACTGCCTCGTCGACCCCACAACATCCGAAAGTCAAGCACTGGCAATGACTTCGAGGCGGACGCTGGGTTTTGGGGTTTTAGCGGGCATCTGAGAAAGTTCGCGCTTTCAGGATCTTGATGGGGCTGTTGCGCCCGTTTGCGTCCGCGCCCCATTCTTGCATCCCTCCCAAACACTCCTCAATGCCTTCCGTGAACCACAAGCTGCGGTATTGCCCATTCACAAGACTTTGAATGGTTGAGACACCTGCTTTGCTCTCTTGGTTGATTAACACGGTAGCCAGGTATTTGTGTTGCCTCATGTTGCATGATTCTTCCGTCCCTGGTTTCCCACAGTGGCTTTCAACTGAACATCTGACATCACGACGGTTCGACGCCTGGGGGATCCGTTCATTTTTTCGACCCGAGCCTCAGGTTGGACAAAAAGCCTGGTTTTGGAAAGCCCACCGAAACAGAACAAAACAAGCAGGCCTGGCAAGACCAACCATAAATCTGGCCGGTATTGTTGCATGAGTTGGAAAAACCGGGCCTGCGGTGATCCAACGACAACAACACAAACACAAACCACCCTAAGCCCTCAGGAAACAACTCACTTCTTGAGTTCATGGACTTCATACTTTTTGGGAAGACCATTTACTGGCAAACACAAAATTTGGACTGTTCAGGCCAGTCCACTCAGGAAGTGAGTAGACTAGGGAATGGTAGGGTTTCCCTTCGATGTAAGCTTTTCTTAGCCAATCCGCTCAGGAAGTGAGAAGATAGGGAAACAACGAGTGTTAGACCGCAAGCCGAAGAGGGAACTGAACCCTGGATGTTGTAGAGGGTAAACGGCAACCCACAACTCTAAACCAGCAATCCAAACCGCCCAATTGGCGGGAAGCTGATTAAAGATCCTCCTCAAAGCCTCGAATCCACCCTGAAAAGATGACCCCTAGAATCCAAAAAAACAACTAAGCCCCAGAAAGAGCGCTTGCCTTTCACGCGTAAAAAAAATCTGCCGCCCGCTGTGGTTTCCTGGAAGGCTGGTTCACCACGGGGCACGCCAAGCGCTCGCGCGTGAAGGGATCTACCTGCTGCCTCCGGTGCCTCGCTGGTACCGGCCACGCCCCCTGGCTTCGCTGGCGCTAAGAGCTGAGCTGAGGTCGAGCCATGCGAAATTTGTTGGGGAAACCGCTGGCTAGGTCCCCCCATAAATGGTGCCCTCTGTTTTACCGTTTCTTTTTTTGGGTGTTGGGCTCCCCTACTAAAATAGACTACAGGAAAAAGTTGGTACCCTTCATTTTAAGCTCTCTACTGGAGGACCTAGCTGGGGTGTTCCCTCCAGTGGTATGTGTGGCTCAAAATTAGAGAGTCAGGGCAAACCGCAGGTTTTGGTCTTTGTTTTTCTATTTACCAAGGGGCACCTTTTTTGCAGCCACAGCCTGGTCTGAACCCCCACAAGGCGACATAGGGGACATGCCCATCTCTCAAACTCAACCAGACAATTCTGCTTAATCCAGGGGCCATGCCCATCTCCCAAAATCAACCTAATCCGGGTTCCCGTTCGTTCGTTGGCCAGGTGCTGGGTCATTATGTTGGTTCTGTTTCTGGGGGTCGTCAAAGTCATGGAAAATTGATCCGGTTGTTTCTCTTTAACCTTCAAACTTGGGGAGTGACTTTGATCATGGTAAAAGATGAGGCCAGAACCAACGTGGGTTGAGCCCCTGGGTTAAAGCAGAAAGAACAAAGTGTTTCTCTTTTGGCAACCTGTTGGTTTAACAGGCAACCAACAGGGGAACTAGCTTTTTTGGGGGGTCCCTATTTCTCACTCCCGTTACTGGACCAAAGGTCCATTTTGGTGGTAAACTAAAAACATGGGGCTTGTTTGGCCAATCCACTCGACCGGAAGTGAGATTTTGGAGACATACCCAGTTGATTTAGGCATACGGTTGAAGTTTTGGACTATCAGCCCAGGAATCGGTTCCACTGGATCAACCAGTATTCAGAGGTGCGAAGTGGATTTCGTCAGTACATCCCAAGTGATTGAGATCCGCAAACTGGCTTCTCCAGTCTTTGGTTTCAGAATGGCAGCTTGAAACAATCCTCCAAACTGTTGTCTTCTTCAAAACAATTTTAGATAGACTAAATGAGCGACTGCCTTAGGAGGACAACAGGAAAGATGGCGGAAACATGTATACGTGCGGCGTTGGACAACAGGGTCAATGAGTCCAAGCGGGCTCAGGGGTTGGAGGTTGGAACATGAGCCAGAAGCTGGGATTGGTTGCCTTTAGAATGGTAGAGTGGTGGGGCTGGTATTAGTCTCGGCAAACTACAACCAGCTTACCTAAGACGAACCTACACCTTTTGCTTTTTGGGGCGGTTGTCAAGAATCAGAATCTGTTGCAGGAGTTGGCCTGTTTTATGGGTTGTCCACTTCCTTTCTGACCTCCGTTTCCGGTGAAATCTGCGGGGTAAGCTAATGTCTCTCCGACATCCACTCATGGGCCTGTGACTGTGGTTGGCCAACCACACCCCCTTGCCCCCTTCAGTCGTGGCCGAGGTTCTACTTCTCCTACTCCAAGCAATGCTCATGCGCCCGACTCAATCGAACTCAGCCGGCGGGCGTTGTGGTAGCGTGCTTGGAGTTGATGGGTATGTTTCTCTTCGAGCGCGTTTCACATGTCATCGTTGGAGTGAGTTGTACAGGCGACCACCAGCTTGTTGGAACTCCATTGCCAACGGGCACGCGTTGGCCCACCCCCAAAACGGAGCGATATGCCCAGCTGAAACTCGGCTTCAAGGTGAAAGCTTAATGGCAGTGGTACATCCGAATTGCCACTATGTGTTGATCACCCAACTCGTGTGTCACTCGGAAGCAAGTGTTAGTAGGTCACGTGGTGCCGGCGCTTCTTGGTCCCGAGCCACAAAGAGATGATCCGGCTCAATGGAAGTTTGGGGTTCAAAGCGCAATTAAAACAATGGGGGTTAATATAACCACCATTTCTTCACCTAAGGGCTTTCATCAACAAGTGGGTCAACCGTTCTTGCAATGTGGGTTGAATTTCAGGGCGGAAGTTTGCCGGGTTTCCTTTAGCTTCGTTTCCCTGTCCCGAGGGTCTTTGGCTTGCGATATCCTCCAGAGGTCCGTGAAGTTGAGAAGGATGCAACGACCTCGGATTCACCACAGGGGCGGCCATTGCTATTTCAAGCAGCAAACTGAAACGAAGGAGCATCGACACTGCACAAGGGGGAGTTCTGACCCCTGCTTGGTGTGTTGGTTTCTTTCCTTTGATGGATCCTAGTTGACCTGTTCGGGATCTGCATGAACTGTATCCAGCTCACTTGGGAGGCGGAGCAGGAAAAGAGATGGCGGATGATGATGATTCCTTTCACACGGCCTTGTTTAGTGAGGTTCCCTAAAATAGGTCAATCAACCCTCAACCCCTAAATGCGGAATCGACTCAAACAGGCTAAATGGGTGTGCCGTTTTTTAGGGACCCCCCAACAATGGCAAGGGTTGTTGGTTGCCTTCCCTTTGAAACCGAAAGGGGGTACTGAGCCTCCAAAAAAAAGTCCCTCAAATATGAAGCACAAACAAAGCGACTGAACCTCGGTTTGGATTTGAATTTGAACCCCTGGCCAATCCGCCAATAACCACCCCCCCAAGCACTGCATTTTGGTTGCGGCTCCCAGCCATCCCCTTAGCCTTTTAGCTTTTTAGTGTTTAGTTGTAGTTTCCATTTCACCCACTAAAAGTTTAAAAAAAAAAAAATAGCGGGGGATCTGAGGGCAGAGGGTTGAAAAAACAAAAAGCAGTTGCAAGTTGGGGGGCCGGCACTGGTAGAGGGAAGCTGACCAGTGGGAGGCCTCCCTTCTTTTTGGGTCTGCTGAGGTGCATCCCGGTGCTCAGCTTCCTGCTGGTCCGGTGGCTGGACGCCTTCGGCGAGCTCACCGAGGAGCCTTCAAGACGAGACGGAGTCGGGTCCCGAAAAAGGGACACCTAGGGTTCTCCCTTAACACTCCTGGTTGATCCATCTCGAAACAAGCATTGCCGCCTATATCGCAGTACAATCATGGTTGATTGAAAGAATCAACGACAACACAATGATCGAACTCATTCATGCGTCCCTTGGGGATGATAGCATTTTCTTGAAGATGAGCAGTGCCAAACCAAACCTTGGCCACTTCAGCCGGTTCTACCGACTGCTTTGATTAGGATAGTAATAGTAGAGCCTCAGACTCAAACCGGCACCATCTTGGAACGTCTAAGGGCCTCCGTAGAAAAATGCAAACGAGGGTATACCACATGGGTGTGTCCTCAAACAGACGCGCAAGATTGCGTCGTTTCCTTTGTTGTCCCTTGAACACCCACCTCCACAAAGGGTACCCTCAAAACAAGACACCCCCAAATTGGGTGCCCTCAAGCGATAGGCCACGGGCTTGTGGCCACCAATTTCCGCCAGGTGCACTCCCAAGGAAAGATGCCTTCCCATGGTTTCCACCCCAACCTGTACCCGGTCTTGGGGGATACAGCCACACAAGAAAAGCGCACTAGAAGTTGTGTAAGGTTCTCTGGCTGGTGCGGATTCCGATTCCCTTTCCTTGGCTTGGTGGAGTCAACCAGTTTTCCCCTGAGTTTGGGGCTGATAAAAGCCACCTAAATGCCATGAAGTCGGATTCGAAGGTGCACCCGATGCTTAACCTGAACTCCGCCCTGTGGCTCCACGTCTTCGCGCGGGCCCAAGTCGAACCGCGTTGGTTCAAGGCATGTTCTGGCGGCTGTTTTTCTTTTTGCGTTTAGGTTTACCCCCTACTCCAAATACCCACTTTTTTAAGAGTGTTTTTGAAAAGCCTGGGTTTCCGTGGTAAATATATCCTTTTTTAATTGAGGTATTGGGTGTAATTAAGGGGTACACGTTTGGCTTCTTGTTCCATGATCGTCCACTTGCTTGGCAGGGTCGGGTCAATGTCTCATTGGACCTTCAGGGTGATACGCAGGGGAAGATGCTTGCTAAACTGGCTTGTCTCGAAGTTCAGCTGTTTGACTATGGCACGATTGGGCATTTGTCAAACAAAGGGGAACCTCCCCCCAAATGAACACTGGTTGGTTTCCTGTTGGCTTTCCTTAGCCAATGAAAGGGAGCTTCCCCCCAAGAATTGAACTGGCAGACATGCTATGCAGAACTGGCGCATGACATGAATCAGAAAATGGACAGCATCGCCATGGCGAGAAGCTGCAGCTTCGGATGGTGCGCGACAATGTCGCGGACAGTCCAAGCGGTAAGTCACTACTGCACGTTGGGAAGGTCTTTTTTGTGGGACTCCCAAAAAAGGTGGTTTTCATTTTGGTTTGCATGTTGGTTTTCCGTGAAACAAACACCAAACAAGGTGTTGCGACTCATGGAGCGGATTTCGGGGCAAGAAAAGCCCACCTTCCACCCGAGTGTATATTTTTAGCAAGCTAAGCTGTACATGCATTCCGTGAGTTCTCGCACTCACCAAATCGCAGGCGTCCACCCATTCACGGTGCTTTGTTGGACCTGAAATTGGGCGGGTTTCTATTTTAATTGTCCGTTAAAAGCACCAAAAAAGGGTACCCTCAAAAGACACCCAAATAGAGAGCCCGTTAAACATGAGGCGTGTTTTTGGTTGGACCCCGCTCATCCGCAAAAGTGGCAGTTCCAGACATGGAGGGTGCAGCGGCTTCCTATCCATATGGTGGTGTGTGTTCTAAGGTTGGACCCACTCCTGGTTGTTCCTAAGAACCACACAAAGTGGGTATCCTCATATATCCTCAAAAGCACGACACTATATTGTATCTTCTTTGAGGCAGCTTTCAGGAAGTGCCGCCGCACGTAACAACGCGTGACAGTCCCGCTTGGATCACAGGATGAAGGCAGCATCTTTGGTCACCTCTCATGCCTCAGAGATTCATGATGGCTGGATGCAGACACATCTTCAGAGGGTCCAAGTACCTCATGAAGATGGCTTTTGGTGGGTAAAAAGGGATCTAAGCACCTCGTTAAAAGGAACCAAGCGACCTGTGGGATTGGCAGACAAACAGAAACCCGCAGCTCGTTTTCTATGTTTCCCGCTGAAAAACTGGGCTTGAGTCCCAGCTTGGCTGTGAATTTCGTTGGGTGAGCCTTGCCCTTTTGGATGCCAAAAAGGCATGAGCTCGCTCTTTGTGGCGATCCGAACCAAAAAGTTGATTGGAACCCAAATTGCGCGCTTTGTCGCGCTATCTGGCGCTCATCATGTGTTTGTTCCCACGTTTTATGTGCTCTGACACTCAAACTTGGAGTTAATTTTGAATAAGTTTTTGTCGGGTCTAAGAACTGTCTGAGGTTTGCTGCTTCGGGGCACTGCTCATTCTGCTGCAACCCTTCGAGAACGGGGACGCCTTGCGTCACGGTGCGCCGGAGAGTCCGGTTTTTCTGCGAGGGGATCAGAAGTGGCTTCACTTGTCGGTTCCCAGCCATCCCCTTAATTTGTGTTCAGGGTTTTGGGGTTGAGTGGGGGGTTTCCTCCTTTGATCCACTAGAAGTGCAAAGCTTTGAGCAGATCTGAGAACAGCCCAGTTCGGAACACTTCGTGAGCGCAATCTCCATGCCGTCACACCGATTCCCGTAAACCAGACCTCCAGTGGGGTATTCGGATATTCGTGGCACACGACATGGCGATGCTCCAGTAAAGCAACACACGACCATATGCAGATGTCAACGGCGGAAGTCTCCCTTCCACCTTCCAAGCCTCAGGCTATAGGTTGCATGCGCGGTGTTTCCACCAGACCGTCCCCCAAAGGAAGCAAACAAGAGGCTTGACCAATCGTGGTTTAGGCCATGGAAAGACGAGGGGCACAAATGAGCCCTTGGTTTTCCATGCAAACCAAAGGGGTGGTTTCCTTGGAAGAGGTTGTCCCGTTTTTGCACCCTGCCTTTTTTGGCACGACACCCACATGTGCTCGAAGCGCAAGCGCGCCGCCCCGCAGGCACTGCGTCGCCCTGGAGCATGAAGTTCATGCGCTGGGGCTTCTGGCTCTCCGTGCTGGCGGTGAAGGCGTCGGGTAGCTTGCATCGATGCATCGATCTGTTGGGCTCACCGGTGGATGAAGCCCAGGCCTCCTCCGCAACGTGCTGCTTCTTCGGGTGTGGGGGGGGGGCCAGGAGCAAGGAATAGTCCCAACTTCAAATGGGCGCCTTCGCCTTTGTACTTCTTTGCATGGGCGTGTCTTTTTTTCAGGCAGCCCCCAAAAATGTTGGTTTTGCTTTTGGTTTCCTTTGCATTTCACACCCTAACAAAAAAAACACCAGTAAAAAAAGACGAGCCACCCACATGGTTCCAGACCCATTGGCGACCCTGGCGCGCGCAACCGCGCGCCTTGCACGCGCAGTTCGTGTCCGGGCTCGGGGGCATCGCCGCCATCGAGCGCGCCACCACGGAGCTCAAGGCGCGAGGATGTTTTTTGTTTTTCCGGCACCTCACGGCACTTTTGCCCCGGAAAGCTTGTGGAAGTCGACTCATGTTGCACCCATTTTCCGGGTGGGGGCGGGGGGGAATGCCAATTCATGCTACTTGTGGTTCTGTTGATGCCTATTTTTGAGGGCGGGAATTTGCTCGATGCTTGGGGACAAGACTCTCAGGGCAATGTGTTGATCTTAGGCAAGCTCCACTTTCCCATGATGTTCTATCTTCGTTGTGGTGGTATAAATTCAGATCTTCGCTGCCTCAAAATCTCAGGCCAGTTGGTGCCAATTTGGCAGTTAAGCTTCATGGTAGCACTTTCAGGCGTGTTTGGCGTCTATATGTGTTTGTCATGGTTTGTCTCAAAATAGGGGAACTTCCAAAATGTGTGGTTGCCCTTTTTGATTTCCCTTTGAAACCTAACGAAAAGGGGTGCCCTCAAAAAAAAGGGACGCCCATACAAGGTTCGTTGAACATGTCCGGACAATGTGTACGGTCAAAGGACATGAAGGACGCGCTACGAAGTTTCAACAAGATAAGTTCACAGCGCTAGGTCCACGTATTCTGTGTGGGAGCTGAACATATTTTGAGGGTGGCTCATATAGTTTTGAGGGAAATGTTGTTCTGGGGGGCTGAAATGGATGTCAAAGGGATTGAATCCACGAATTTGGCAGGATACGCACCCAGATCCCATCAGACGGGAAATTCAACCACCTAGCAATCCAAACTACTGGATTCCCTGAAACCTGGAAATCGCGTGATTGCTGAACTCGAGTCATCGGGTATGCGTGTTGGTCTAAAATGGGGCATGGCTGCGGGGAGGACACTGGATGAGTCTGTGTTGAGATTACCAGACTCATCCAGAATTAACATGGACCCAAATAAGGCGTCTCCAACAACATGTATCTCCGAACATGTGTTTTCTCCGAACAAATGCGGCTTTTGGGGGGTAGGGGAATCGTTTTCCACTCTTCTTTTCTTTTTTGGCTGCCTGACGCGCTCAGATCAGCCGCCCGGGCCGGGAGTCGCTGGAAGACTTACCACGCTTCGCCTTTGGACCCAACTGGGACAAGGCGATGCGACGCATTCGCCGCATCGGACGGGTTGAATTTGCTCGCTGGCGCAGGCCCTTTCTTGGTGTGGCTCAAAATTCAAGAGCTGGGGTTACGCAGTTTGTTTGTTTTTCCATCCAAGGGGCCCAAAAATTGGTACCACTTGCTCGAGTCACAGCCTTTTCTTGGTGGGGGAAGTATACTCTAAACCCCATGCTTCCCATGCGACTAAGAGTGGACTTGCAATTGACCCTTGGTTGATTGCTATAAGGGGTGCCCCTTATTAATGCGCCAGGTTCATTAATCCGGGGGTCAATCACTTGGGGATAACTTAATTCCAAAGTGAGTGGGGTGCTTGAAGATATGTTTCCCTGGTTTCCAAGAGAGGTATGCAGGTGTATACCTGTTGCTACCGGTTTCTTGGCTCGGTGACTTGCCTTTCTCTTTGTGTAATTGGGTCCATGGTCCGTGAAGTGAGGCTTGGTCAAAGCCCGTCTATGGTTCATTTCAGGGTGTCTTTCTTTAGGCACCCCAAATCTAGGGGACCCCAAAAACTCCTGTGCTCCGGTTCGGGACATCGGTTCCAATCCCTCAGGAAGCTTCGTGATTTTTGCTGTCGGGGGCAATAGAGACCTCGAGGTCCGAAGGGCTCTGTGAAATCTGCCCAGCGCATGGCGCAGTTCGAGATTTGATGGGTCACCTCTGTCCGGATCTTCTCGCATGCATTTGGTAATTGCTTGGCACGACCCTAAAAAAGCTTAGGCGGGACGAGGGGATGGAGGGAGTAGCACCTCAATCCTGAACTGCTGGGGGACTTCTGGCAGATCAAGCGGAATGCCCACCTTTTGATTCACCACAGGTTTTGGGTCTCTGTTGTTTGCCGCCACAGTTGTGTTCGGGTGTCTCGAATGGCAGGACATGATCGAGTGGCTGGCTCTGTGGGGCACCGGATTGATTTGCTATGTAGCTCCTCGGCTGAGACTGCTCGTTGGCTCAGATGACCGACCAGCCAAGCTTCGTCGAACGGCTGATTGAACCGCCCAAAAAGAGATTTGAAGTGTCGACAGCTATGTGGGTTTGTGTGTGTGTGTGCCAAGTTGGGCCAACGCAGCACGCTCGTTCCTTGCCACGGGAAACCTGTACTCCAACGATTCAGGCTTCCTACGACCCCAAATAGGAACAATACCCCATGGAACCCGTTTTTTCTGGTCTGGGGACCAGACCCAGCCAGCTGCCCACGGCTTCCAGCAAGTGACTGGGCACTTTTCTGCTGACCCCTTTTGGATGTGACTTGGTTTTGGCCGAAGGTTTGGGGATTGCAGTGGGGTCAGGTCTTCTGCTTCACCTGCACTCAGTAGGATTCACACACCTGGGGCGTGTTCGGGCTTTCCTCAATGGGGATCTCACATGTGTCCGGCTATTCTTCCGAGGCAGGTTCCTTCCAACCGATATTGATGATTTCATGCATGAAGCGTTGTATATGCGTGAGAAATTTTGAGCATGAGTTGGTTGCATGAATGGATATGTTTGATGCATGTGGTTTGGACAAACTTTTGAGTCACAAACTTTTGAGTTACATATGTATTTTGATTGTATGCATTGATTGCCCTTTCCACGACTAACGGAGGTGTTTTCACAACTTGTCGTTTGGCAATTGTTTGTGATATCGAGGGAATTAACACGACTAAGTTGTCAGAGGGAGGGCGGTGCCCGCTTTGGTCTCACGGAAAAGGCTGTTTCCCAGATGTGGTGTCTCAATGGACCCCAAAGAGTTTACTGAGAACCATTAGGCAACTCATTTGTTCTGAAGCCTTACTGTGTACGACCAATGGCAACCATATGTGTTTAGATCTTAACAAAGGGAAACCAGAAGGGCATGGGCAATTGTTTTCTATGAGTTTTTTGCAGACCCCTTATCGGGGATGTGTCATTTGTTTAAGGGTTCACTTGTTGTTTGGTGTTCTTAAAGCAAGATCCAAGGGACACTCGAAGCCATTTTCCGGGGGCCGCCCCACTCCCTAAAACAGGGGGCCTGCTGTTTTTTTTGTTTTTCCCCCTTTTTTGAAAAGTTATGTGTTTCTTGGGTGTTTTTGTTATATGTCAACCACACACTTGTTTTGGCACATGTCTTCTTTTTGTCTATGTCAACCACACCTTGGTTGTTGCGCCGAAAAGTCTTAGGCCGACACCCAGTTCTGGTTCTGCCTGGGCTGCTCCGTCTTGGGCTTCGTCCTGGCGTTCCGGCACCGCGGCTGGCGCGCCTCGGCGGCGGGTGCGGCGGGTGGTGAAAGGGGAGTGGGTGTCTTCCTGCCTGGATCTTCCAAATGGTTGTGGGTCAAAAATAGGTACCCAAAATGGATTGCCCTGGTAAATGGAAACATGGACTGAAACCTGCGGAATTCCTGGTGTTGTTTTTTTTGACCCAGACCCAGATCATGGAATTTCAACGTAAATTCCGGAGACTACCCCCTTTTTAGGGGTTCAGAGTGAAAAAGCACGGAGTTTTAAAACAGAGAAATAACCCGGAGACGGAGGACCCAGGTTCACTTCTTTTTTTTTAAACAAGGGCATGATGAGTGGTTCAATTGTTTTTTCATCATGAGTGGTTCCTTTGTGTTCTTTTTTTTGGTTTCTTTGCTTTATGTTTTGCTGTAGGGGCTTGTTATGATGAGTGATGAGAGCGATGCGGGTAGGAGTTGAAGGTTTCCCCCGAACTCCTTTGGCAAACCCTGGAGGTGGTCTTTTTGCGCGGCTCGGTGTTTCGGGGCTGAAAAGGGACACGCGCCGAGCACCGAAGTCCATGGGTTCCGAGTCCGTTTTTTGAGAGACACCCAAATTTATTCAGTGCAAAAGGATGACAGTTCCCAGACACGCAGTGGACTGCTTCTTTTGTCAACTTGTCTTTGCAAATCTGTCAAACCGGCTAAAACAAGTCCCAATATGTTTTTGTTCTCGTGGCCACTTGGGGCCTGGATTACAGTTGGCTTCATAAAAGGTCTGGTAATCCCCTCGTACCCACGTGCCATCTTCCTGTAACAAGTTGCCTGGACCCTCAACTAATTACGCGGAAAATGGCCCAGATGTTTTGGGGAGGTCGCATTGTAAATGGGTAGTTTGAGGGTCTCGGTAAGGCAAAGGGCTTACTCGTTTGTTCGGAGACGCGTGAAGAGGGGTTCTGAAAACGAGTCGGTTCCAATCGCTTGCAAAAAAGGCCCTTCTCATGTCGTATCCGAAAGGAACCCATTTGTTGGAACCCCCCCAATAGGTCACCCAAGTTTGGTTTCTCTGAATGCTGTCAACAAGACATTTCCTCGATGGACCAAATTGTAATGGCATCGACTCACTGACTTGGACTTGCCAGAAGCAGCAGGATTGTTTGGTTTTCCTTGTCGTCTTGCCGTTTTTTGGGCTGTCTAACTTTGCGCCATTTGGGGTTTCCTTCACCCTGGGTTCAACCCCCATTAAAAGAAAAGGTTGAGCCAATTTGGATGATGACAATCCTTAGGTGAAGAAATGGTGGTTATATTACCCCTCCCCATCCCTCCCCCATGGCTTTACTGGTGGTTTGAATTTCGGCAGCAAATCACGTGTTGCAGCGCGTCCGCTCATTGGCCTCTCCCGGGGAGCGTTGAGGTTTACACAATCTGGGCGTGTGCTTCTCTCAGCATGTTTGGAGTCGGTACAACATTTTCCCCTCGGCTTAAGGGACAGTTAGAAGGATAAGCGACGTCCATTTGTGGGGGTGCGAAGAGGACCATGATTCAGATGGGTTATGATATCCAATGCAGAGCCAGGAGGCCCAGTGCAGAAGCCCTCAAGGCCCCAAGGGGGCGTAAAAGCGCGACCAACCCGCCGGGTGATCCTGTCTCTATATGCACCCCATGTGGCACACATTCTGGGAGTTCTGACCTGGGTCTGCCTCAGGGGACTCTCCCAAAGTGTTGGTACACGTTCCTTTTGGCGTCCCTTCAGTGCGCCCAAAACGGGTATTCTCATTCAATCAAACAAGAACAGGCGAGTGTTTCGCAGAATTAGGGGTCAATGGTGGTTGGGTTTCTTGTGATTTCTCGATCCACAAACGTTTTGTAAGGTTGGAACCCCCCCAAATGGTGGTTTTCCTGTTGCTGTCCCTTTAACACCAACCAAAAAGGTGTTCCCTGAAAAAGGTGTGTCTTGTTTGGGTATATCCCGCCTTTGGTCGGTTTGAAGTGGAGATCAAAAGGAAAACCAATCAGGAAACCATTTTTGGGGGTGTCCCCCTATTTAACGACACCCATTTTGTGACTCGCCCATACGTCCACCATTTTGTTGAGGCGCGCGCACGCTGGTCACAGAGGATGCCTTGGCTGCCGTGCCCATGCGCTACGCCGAGCGCGCCGCGCGGCAAGGGAAAGGAGCAGGGAGGCCCATAGGTGTCCTTGTTAGGTTAGTTTGATTAAACATAGATGGGTTCCACTGGTTTAGGTGGGGTTTCTTCCATTTACCAGGGCCATCTATTTCCAAAAGGCCACCTATGGGGGGGTCTGGGTCCCTATTTTCACACATCCCCCCAGGTCCCGAATGGCCATTGGTTGCCTGTTGATGTGAATCTATGTATTTGTTGCGCCACAAACGCAGCAACCCAAACAGGGTCTTCCTTCTTTACCTGGGAAACTGGTTTGGCAATTGGGTGCGTCTTAGAATCAGGGTTTGGACCCCGAACGATGGTAGTCCCTCGGTTTCCCTTCAAAGAAACTGGCCCCAAAGTACCCTTAAGGAAAGACAGACCCAAGAATGGTTTTGTGTTTGGGATCATTGTCCTTTTGTCTGCCATGAACGTTGGTGCAAAAACAACTTTGCATTTCTCCGCATGTGTTCAGGTTTGTCCCTTTGAGGGGCGAACAGCGACCTGTAGTTTTGAGACACTCTTTACTGTCACTGCTCTAGGTTTTGTTCCTTGTCAGGGTCTGAAAAAGGAATAGAGAGCGACACTTGCGTGCAGGTTCATTGCCATTCTTGCACGTTGCAGTTCCTAGGTTCAATCATGGTTTCCGCCAGAGATTAGGGACCTGCCACAGAATCTATTAGGGGTTGTGTGGTATCTTTGCCTCATCATGGCTGATATTCGCGAATTGCCTCATTATGGGAGACCCATGTTTGCAATTGTTTGGCCAGTTCTATTACAAACCAATTCTTTCGCCCCTACCTCACTTTTGGATGGGCGATCAGCACAACTGGCCTCATTATTTTACCAGAATCAAGGTCACGCCCTAAGTGGTGGTTGAAGGGAAACAACCAAATTCATTTTGTCTGACTTTGACAACCCCTAGAAGCAATCAAAGTAGTGACCCCAGCACAAGCTTGCCCTTTCGGTCAGGAGTGGTGTTCGGCCTGTGAGCTGCAAAGCTTTGAATCGGTGACTCTCGTCACTTCGGGTCAAAACAAGTGGAGTTGGAGAGCTGAACAGCGCCTGAATTGGTGGTTTGAGTTGCTTTGGAGATTGAAACTCCTAAGATTTTCGTGGGCAAATGGGAAACCACCCTCAAGCACCAAACCGTCCAACCCAACAAAAAGCTGAACTGAGAGCTTTTCTTGGTCCCCCAGTAGTGCCCTTTCTCACCCCTTTTTTGGTTGGGAGGGTTCCCCTACTAAAATAGACTACCGGCAAAAAGTTGGTACCCTTATTCTAAGCTCTCTACTAGAGGACCCAGTCCCTGTTCCAGTCTACTCTCCCACCAATTCACATGGAACCCGACCTTCGGGGGTCCCTGGGAGAGGAAAGTGGTCTTGTGTTAAGTTTGGCCGCTGTGTGGCTGACTTCGGTTGACCTGGATAGGAATCCACTATCCAAGGAATCCAAGTACCACCCCGAAGCGCCAACAAAAAACGCTGGAGGAATAGATGGGACTTGGGAGAATTAATCTAAACCAATCTAAACCAATCTATTCTAAACCAGTGGAACCAATCCCAAATGGAACTCATTTAGCCCATAGCACCCATCCAAACCGGTGGATCCCATTCGCCTGGACCGAGAAACCGCCGCGAGGTGATCCTCGCCGCGCCCCGCGGCCAGCAACACCGGCACAGGGCGCGCGCGGCCCAGGCCGCTGAGAACCCGCCTCGGAGAAATCGGCCGTGGTCTTCTTTGGGTGGAGATGGGGGAGGTGACCCCCGTTGGGATTTTCCCACCAAAATGGGCCATGCCCCCTTTTCCCCCAAAAAACCCTTGGTACCTTCCAAGGGCCAATCTCCAAAGCCCTCCTCATGAGCTACCCTCGGGGTTTGGACCCATTTTGGGATTCCAACCAAAATTCTAGGGGTAATACAACCACCATGGTTTTCCTAGGGATTATCATCATCCAAATTGGCTCAGCCTTTCTTCTAATGGGGTTGAACTCTATAGAGTGAAGGAAAACCAAATCGGCGCAAAATTCTAGGGGTAACTTCCATTTCCATTCTTTCCAATAATCCTTCTTTTTACAAAAACCACCAAAAAACCCGGGGAAATGGCTGGTTTTTGAAAAGAACGATGGCTGAAAAAAATGGGGAATCAACCCCTAGAAAAATGGGCAATTTCCCCGTTTGGTGGTTAAGCTAGGAAACCTATTGCCTGCTTGATTTTTAAAACCAGGTATCTTTACATGTTGGACCCACTTGGTTTGAAGTTCCAGCTGTTGGAAGCAAGCATGAACACCCTCTGCCCATTTTGCCAGATTCGTCGGGATGCAAAGGGTCCGGGACCCCAAAAGGACCATTTCTCTTGCGGCTTGCGGCTTTGAAGTAAGGTGTCAGGTATGTCGCAGGAGAAACCGTGGGCATAAATCTTCGATCTGTTTCCGCAGTGCGTTCTCAACGTTTCTGCTTTAACCATCCCAAGTGCAGCAGCCAAAAGCAGTGGTGGGGACACGAGTGTCGCTTGTTTTTCCTGGCCACCTGTGACCCCTTATTGCTCAGCGCAATCGACTCCGACTTGACTCGTAGGGCACCGTCCCGCCGCCCTCAGCAAAGAAGCAGTGGTACGAGAAGTGGTTCCCGGACTTGTGGGCGCTTTGGCGCTACTGGAAGTTGGGGACCCCCGAGTCGCTTGTGGATCCGGGTCCCTTGAGATTTTTAAGGCGGTACCGGTGGGGCGGGAAACGAGCGATTTGTTCTGACCCGCCTGAGTGGCCTGAAAAACGACTGAGTCAACCAGTAGGCTAGGTCCCCCATTCGTGCCCTTTCTCACCCGAGGATTCCCCTACTAAAATAGACTACAGAAAAAGGCGTACCCTTGTTCCTCTCTACTGGATGACCTAGTAGGGGTTGACCTTTGGTCAGAAATCCGTTTCAAGTATGGAGAGGCAAAATGGGCTTTCTCCTGAAGATGTCCTTTCCAAGAAGGTCCAACTTGATTTCCCCGCAAACGGGGTCAACAGACAACCCCGGGGGCCCAAAGCACATAGACCGCAATTCACTGCTCTGTTTTTTGAGGGGGTTAGGCTTTCACAAGGTGTAGGGAATCTATCAGATCAGAATTCCGATCGTACAGTGCTCGGGCCCTCGCTACCTTCGGTAGTGTGTCAGCACTCCCCAAAAAGAACAGTTGTGGGGGAAGGGGGGGGCACTGGTGTTTCTTCCCTGTTCAGCACCATCCGAACAGGTGCCCCTTTTGCATTGGAGGCAATCGGACCAGTAGGAAGCTCTCTTAGAAACCTTAGCTGATGCTTCATGAGGTGGTTTAAACATGTTGGCTCCAAACCCTGTGTTTGGCTGGAGTCTGGAGATGACCCATCCCTGAAGCAGAGTGAATGTGTTACGACTTGTTGGTTCTCCTTTTTTCAGAACGAGTGACATCTGCCAGCCAAGCATCAACCAAACGGACCTGTTTAAGGCCGGGTCCTGCAGTTGGCCATGACCATTTAGGACCAGAAACCGACCCTGGTCGGGTCGGATGGGAGCAACATGGCTATGAACTGTTAAGAGTTCGAACCCTCAAACTCAAGTGGTTGTCTACCAAATGGCTCCCTATTAAGACTCACCCCCATGTGGCTGTGGGTCAACAAAAAGGTACCCCAAATGGCTTGCCCTAGTAAGTGGAAACAGGGACCAAGACCTGCGGATCATTTCCTGGTGCTTCAAAAATGGACCCAGACCCAAATCATGGAATTTTAATGTAAAACCCGGAGACTACCACTTCTTAAGGGCTTAATAAGGGCTTTTTTGGGCTCCCTCCCCCTCCCTCCCCCCCAGTGACTCAGGACCGCATTATTGACTTCATGCGCTACGAGGACAAGCTGGACGACTTCATCTTGGGGCAGCTGAAATTTACGGTGGACGCCGGCTCCGAGCAAGTCGTCTCCTGGGAAGCGGTGCACAGGCTCACATCGCAAGGGCGAAGATGGCGAATGGGTTCCAACTCGGATTTTTTTCGGCCTCAGTCCTTTCAACCCTTCGCCACAATGGCCACCAGTTTCCTTTCTTCAAACTGGGTTGCTTTCAACCACCTTTTGGTGGCAGGGAGTTCTTTTTGGAGCCTCTTGCGGCACAATGCGGCACTTCCATTGGAAAGAGCCGATACCTGGACCGTTAAGACTCAACCCTTCAAGTGGGCATGTTGAACCGCATGTATCGGTGATGTCCCACCTTTTGAGGACAAACAACAAGAGGTGGAGCAGGAATCACAACTGATTTTTTGTTCAAAACCATCCAGACCTGATTCCCGACGAAGGCAAGCCAAGACCATCCCGCTCAAGTGAGAACCAAGCCCTAGGCAACAACTGCAACCCCAGCTGCTCAAGAGAAGATTTCGGTCACGCAACTGGCGTCCCTTTCAGCGCTCAGCCCACACCCCAAGCGAAGCCTTTGGCTTGAAGATGTCGAAGGAATCGTGTGAATCGATGTCAGTAGTGTTTATCAAGTTTAAAGCGGAATGCGCCCGTAAACGATGCAAGCCCATACTAATGTAGCCTTACGCCGGGCACATAGAAAAACGGGACCATGCGCCAGGCCGCTGAAGCCGCGCACCAGCTTTATGCCGCCGCCCGTCTTTGCCCACACCAGCTGCGGTCAGCGCTCCCTTGAGCGGGACCTAGGCCGCTCGAAGGAAATTTGGGGTCTGCTTGTTTTGCTCAGGTACGCCCCTTTTTCGGTTGGTTCCAACCGGGCACGGGGTCCAGTTGAAAGACATGAAAGTGTGACGCAAGCAACAGCATATATGTGGTGTTCAAAAGGGTCCATGTTCCTTTTGGCGTAAGGGTTCCCACAGTTACGGCAAATTTGGTCGCACCGGGTTGCTCAAAGGGGGCACCAAATGGCAAGGGTTTCCTTTTCGCTTCTCTCTAAGCCAACCCAGTTTGAGGTAATTACCTTGCACCCCAGAAAAGGACAGACCCACTTGCAACCGCTCGGTTTGTGGTTCCTTTTGGTGGTTAGGCCTTTTGCTTGGTTTAAAAGAACACCGATATTTTTATTTTGGGGGCTTAGATCCCTAAACGACGGGCAAATTTGGTCTCAGGAGTCATTCCGGAGGAGTATTGGCCAAAGAACCCGGAGGTCAGATGGCGGCTCAACGCCTTCGCGCGCCCCTCGGCTTGAAGAACTCGAGCAAAAGACTTGGCGGTTGCGCGGCTGGCCGCGGTTTCGAGAAGCCGTGTGACCAACACATGGGTTGTTGTTGGGAAACATTTTACAATTTTGCTTATTGTGGTTTAGAGGGAAATCCCCACTTAACTGCTAAATTTTAGATTTCTGCTCCCCTTCCAACGTCAACCAAGGACAGAAGGGAGCGTTTTTGTGCTGTGAAGTTGTTCTGTTTGGCGGAGAAAGGCAGTTAAGCCATTTTTGCGAGGGGACACCTGATTTTGAGACACTCCTGTAGGGGCGATGTGTTTTTTGTTTGGGAGTTTGGGGGTCGGGTGGGGGGGCTGCGTGTCTTGGTTTCACGTCTTTTCGCGTGGAACTGCGGTTCGCGTGGTGAGAATGCGACTGGACGTAGGAACGTGTTTGGTGTTCCCGTTTCGGCTTCCATTCTGGTTTCCCTCAGCCCAAAGGAACTCCCAAGGTGGGGCAAACCCGGCCATGGCATGTTGGTTTCCTTTTGTTGTTCTACATGTTCCGTAGTTTCCCCGGGCCCCATTTGCAATCCTTCCCATTTGTTCCATGTCAACTCACCTATAGCTTGTTTAAACATGGCATGCGGTTTGATTTGCTTGCTGGGATTATGGGTTGCTGTTGCTCCAAATTCAACTTCTTGAGCCCGTCCTTTCTTTCAGTGTTGTCCTATCCCAGAAGGGGGAGGGTCCGCAGAAAGCGTGCCTGCTTACAAAAAAGATGAAGGCAACCGTCATGGCCCCCTTGCCAGTTTAATTTGGGCCTGCAAAAATCAGACCCCCCTACAAAAAAGCAACGCATAGATCCGTTTTTTGGACACTTGATGGACGCACATCGGTCTCGTATTGGGTTTTTGGCGCGACTTACGCGACTCTCCGCGAATCGATTCAGGGAACCTCGCCTATGAGCAGCTGCCCCGGCCTTTCCTGACGCCGTACATGCCCGGCCTCACCGTGGCTTCGGCCAGCAAGCAACACCGGTGGTGCCCATTTGGTCCTATAGCCGGCTTTTTGGGTCCCTTGGAACCAGCGCTCGGGTCCCAACCACTGATTTCTGGTGACCGCACCAAGGGAATTTACATGGAAGAAGGCAGGCAAGTTGGGGGGTGCTGGTTTCTGGGAGGCTGGGCTTTTGAGATATGGAAATGGGTTAGACTTAGGGATCTTAGGGTGGGGTTGATTTCATTTGTCCTCTCCATTTTGGGACATACCCGAATGGACGAAAGTCGTTTGGGTGTAGTTTTGTGGAAGTCTCCCTTTTTCGAAGAAGGGATAATCCTTGAAGCCCTAAAATGGGTACTCTCAAAGAGAGAGATACACCGATCAAGTTCTGGATCTGCCTAAAGCTTCCGGCATTCAGGCTCTCGTTTTTGTTGAGTCCGTCAATGAATGTTGTCACGAGCCTTTTGACATGTTTCCAGATTCAACATGGAAAATAGATGACTACCCCCTTGCTTAAACGGGGACATTGTTCTTATCCTCCTTAAAACACCACAAGTGGGCCTCCCCCCCTCCCCCCTGCAAGCCTACCCCTAACATCCAATACCCTCTTTTTGAGGGTATCACGTCGACCCTCTACTAAAAAAAGGAGGTATTTACCACGGAAACCCAGGCTTTTCAACAAGTACCCTAACAAAAAGGGTGGGCATTTGGAAGGGGTGGCTCAGGTGCTGATCCCCCCCCTTCTCCCCCCCTTCTCACCCCCTTCTCCCCCCCTTTCCCCCCCCCCTTCTCCCCCCCTTTCTCCCCCCCTTCTCCCCCCCTTCTCCCCCCCTTCTCCCCCCCTTCTCCCCCCCTTTCCCCCCCCCCCTTCTCCCCCCCTTCTCCCCCCCCCCAGGTACTGGTAAGCCGAGCTGATCTTGAGGTGCTGATCCCCCACTACGGCGAGCAGATCTTGCTGACCAAGAAGGATCTGAAGGGTGAGCGCGGGGGCGAGGAGGTGCCACTCATCTCCTGGCTGGAGAAAAGGCGCGCAGAGGGATCGGGAGCGATCGTTTTTTTTTGGGGGGGTGTTGTTTTTGTTGGCTGTTTTTGTTTTTGGTCCGCTAGATACGGGGGAAAACGCCCTTCACACCCCCCAAACTCCTTGGAGATGCGTTACCCAGAGGGTATTTTGGTACCTCATGAGGATGGCTTACAAGGGGGTAAAAAGGGGGCGTTCAGTACCCCGTTAGAAGGTATGAAGGGACCCTCTGGGTTATATTGGGTGTGTCCGTACATGCGGGGGAAACACCCCCCCCCCCAAACCCGTGGTTTCCCTTTTGCTTTTCCTGTAAAGGTCCCTTCAAAAGCAACCCAACAAGGATTCCCTCAAAAAAAGACACCCATACATGACCCTGGGATTCGAATCCATTGTCATTTAAACAATGGTTGCGTGAAGATAGCATTGTTTACCTTGGTGGTTTAATCATCAAAGGTGCATCCTTGCCAGTATGCTTTTGTCTGGATGTGGAAGCCTAGGGGTTATGTATGAGGTTTGGTCAACATGTCCTTTCGATGGTCCATTTGTGAGGAACAACAACGGCGGGGAACAAGTGGTTTTGACCGTGGCTTGTATATTATCATGTATATTGATATATTACACATTATTGAGGCGCCTTTTTTTGAAATCAAGGGCCGCTAAAAGGACAGCCACTTTTTGTGTTGAATAGCCGGTGGGTCGCTATATTTCGACTCAGGCCCATAGTGTGTTTTTGTGTCTAACCATGTATATATACCCCCTTTGGTCCAACAAATACTGTACCGAAGACTCTGCAAGCTTTGCCAGTCACAAACGGGTTTGAGCCTCGAAAAAGACAGGTTTTGTTTCCTTACCCAAGAACAGTGTTGGGGTCGATGAATCCTCGATTCAGGTTCTAGCTCTGCCCGGGTTTTGGGAGGCTTCCAGGCAGGCTCCGCGGTTGGAGGTCCCCCAAAACCAGTTCAGCTCGGGTGCCCCCCCAAAACCCGTTCCCTGGAATTTGGGTATGCGTCAAAACAAGCCAAAAGGATTACCGAGCTTCGAACAGGCACGCACGCACGGTGTTTTGCGCCAAAGGTTTGAACACATTTTTTAGAGGGGTTCTCTATGAAATTTTGCATAGCCACGTGAGTGCTTCTCAAAATGGTGGAGCCCTGTTGGTTGATATTTTGAAGCAAAACAAAGATGGAGCACCCACCCATTTTTTGGGACATTCCCCATTCTTTCCAGGGATCCTTCTTTCTAAAAAACCTCCGGAAACCCAGGGAAAACGGCTGTTGTTTGAAAAGAACGATGGTTGACAAATAATGGAATTGGAATCAACCCCTAGAAACATATAACCCGACACATGTTTTTGTGGACGCCTTAAAAAAGGAGCACCCACCTTCTTTGATCTTCTTCTTCGGGACACCTTAAAAAACAAGACACACCCATATATCCCCACCCATTTCGGGACTCCATTTTTTCAAGAAAACAAACACATATAACTTATATCATATAACCCGAGCCATGTTTTTTTTTGCCGACCGCCTTAGATACCACCGGGACTTCACCGCCTTCACCAGCCGGATGAAGGCTTTGACCCTCACCCCCCGATGGCCGGATGCTGGCACCCGCTGGCGCTTCGGGCGAAAATGGGTCTCGCTATGGCTCAACGGAGATCGAGTAAAATACTCGGAGGCCAGTACAAATATTCAGAGGCCATCGTCGACTCTGCGATGGAGTATCCAGTAAAATATTCAGATATTCTTTACGAACCAAAAGGAGAAGTTGGCGAAGACATTCCCATCTATGGGTAGCCCTTTGCCACTTGTTCTCGTGATTTTCAGCAGGCGTGAAACCCCTTGGTTTCTAAAACTTGGTTGCTCTTCGGCTCGACCTTCACCTGCTATTCTTTTAGAAAAGGATGGTTTTGCCACTTAGTTGTTGTTTTTTTAGTTGTTGCTTTTTGTAGGGGTCAAAGACCAGGAACGTGGTCTCACGTGCTGACAGTGATTCTCAAACTCAGGATGCATGTCCTGTGTTTTATCACTATTTCAGTTGCGTGATTGTTACCTCTCGTTTTTTTTGGGGGGGGGAGTTGACATTTTTATGGCGCTGCTAAGACGGCTCACTGTGGCGATGCGGGATTGAGCCTCCCAGCTCCATGGTGAATCTTGCAAACATGGTCTTGGAAATCTGGTTTGTGGCCCACTTTTTGTACCAAGGGAATCGCCTTCAGAGTGAAACAGAAGTCATTGGAACCCATGTCGGCACCAGGGCGATGTTCCACATGGCAAACGAACCATGCAGTGCGCTGGTCGCTTAGCCCCAAAGAGCGCCGGAGCTTCTCTGCCCTTTGACTGCACCCGTTGAGTTCTTTGAAGAATTACTGCTTTCATGCATGAAAAGCTCGTGCTTTGCTCATTTGAACAGCTCAAAGACCGTTTGCGGAACCACCCTGCCAGATTGGGCTGTTCTTAACAAAACGAAGCACGCTGCTTCGCTTTGGGCCTCCCAAGACGTCCGTCGTGAGTCCAAGTTGTACGGCTGAGGGACCAGTACTCGGACTCGAACTGGGAGTCGCTGTGCAAGTGGGCGTCCATGCGGTCCCAGACTTTGTGGCGCACGGTGGAGGGCCTCATGCCGCTCGATTGGTTTGGGAAAACCTGCCATGCGCCCCCTGCCATGCGCCCGCGTGCGTGCAGAAAGGATTGGCAGGAGTTTAACGACATTGAATTCATCAATCTGCAAACCAATGGATCCCAGTTCACCTTGTAGTAGGTAACCAAGTTTCCTTTATATTTTGAAAGGGTGGTTCCCTTGTTACCTTTCTTCAAACCGGGCCTAAACATCGCCGATGCGCGAGTCTAGGGGGTGGAATCGATCCGAACGTATCTGAGGCTTTACCTGCCTGCCCTCGAGTGCTTCCATCAGATGGTGGAACACGAGAACAAGAAGTCCAAGTTGATCTGGGATCCGGCTGAGGCTGGCGGCAAGCCGACCAACTCCGACAGAATGGCCGAGGGAGTTGTTTGTCCAATCTGCTCTATGACCAAGTGCAATGTTTGGGAGCTATAACCCTATGTGTTCAATTGTTGGGTGGGAACTGTAGCGCAGTTGTGAAAAGCCGACCTTGTGACCGTTTGGTGTTCCCCCCGTGGGCAATTGTCGTCATGGCCCCAAAAGGTGAACCTGTTTATTTGGGTCCTTTGGGCAAGTGAGATAATGCTCGGGGTACCTTCCCCACTCTTTCCAGGGATCCTTCTTTCTAGAAAACCGCCGGAAACCCAGGGAAAACGGATCCGGTTTTCGGAAGGAACGATGGTTGAACATCAGCTCTGGCAGATAAGCTCCAAGTCCACATCTGGTCCAGACCCGTTGAACTGCCAGGGAATGGTCTAGTTCCGGCTGTCTTGTCCCAAGCTGGTTTTGGTTGTCTTCTGTCCATTTCTTTTGCAGACCATGCGGTTTGTTTCTATCGGACCACGCTCCTTTTGTTTTGTTTCTTCTTCTTTTTTCTATATTTCTTTACCAGGTCATGTTGCGCCTTCTGCTCGTTAATCATGATGGTTGTTGTATTTCTTTGCTCTTCTTCCATAGCAGGTGTTCTGTGGTTGTCATGTTCTTCTCGTCGATCACGTTATGTGCAGCATGTTGTTTGTTCGTGTTCTTGTTCCACGCGTCGTTTGTCTTGTCGATGATGACGAGATGGCCCTCTCGAGCCTTTCTCCACGGAAGTTGGCAGGTCTTCACCTGCATGGTCTCCATGCAGGCCTATGCCTTCTTCAACGCGGACCAGTGACCCAAGGGTCCCTTCAGAGCCTTCTTGGGAGCAACGCGAAGGTCCGCCATTTCGACAATTTCACCAAGGGACCAGGGGTGTTTCCCAATTTGGGACGTTTCCATGCACTAATTGCTGTCAGACAGACATTTCACTGGGTTAGTAAGCCAGGCAAGGTGCACAACTGAAAAGGGGACTGTTCCCATATTTTGGAGATCCAGTTGTTTAGTGGACTCCACCCGAATCAAGCAACCAAAAGTGGAATCAACCAACCAAAAGTGAATTCAAGTACCAACATTGGAATCGACCAACCAAATGCGGAATGGTTTTAGTTGTTGTGCTGTTCCCCACTTCAAATGGGTTTCCATGTTTCTGCCATTTCCCATGAACAAATGGTTTCCCACATCTACCATCCCACCAAATTTAGTTCCCCTTTTCCATTTTTTCCAGTTTCCCACTGGCGCCCACTTGTTTCCCTCTTTTTTTTGGCGGGGGGCTCCTGTAAAGTAAACCACCAACTTGCGGTGTCTTCAAATTGCAGACCGCAAAATCGTCGTTTTCCCTTTCGTTTCCCTTGCAATCCACCCCAAGATTGGTACCCCAAAAAAAGACACACCAATGCACGCCCGCGGCTTTTCCCACCTGAACGGGTCGATAGGTACAACCACACGGAGCAGTTGCTGCAGCGTTTCAAGAGGAGCAACATCTTCGACGGGAAACAGCATCCTGAAAACGCGAGTGCTGAGTGGCTGGCTGGCTGGCTGCCTGCCTGCCTGCCTGGCTGGCTTGCTTTCTTGCTTTTTTGCTTTCTTGCTTGCTTTCTTTACTCTCTTGCCTGCCTGCCTGCCTGCCTGCCTGGCAGCTCGTTTGCCTGTTGGTTTGTGTTTCTGTTTGTTTGCCCTGCGTCGTCTTCGCGGACAAGCCGTCGGGCCAAACGAAGGCCATCGGAGAAACCTGTCACTCCCTTGGATGCGTAAGCCTTGGGTCCCTTTTTGTGGTTGGTGCAAAGGGAAATCAAGCGGCAAAACAACCCCTTTTTGGGGTATCCTCAAAAAAGACACACACACACACCACCCTTAGGTTTGGATTGGTGGTTTTGGATTTGAAAGTGTTGGCTTCCGTAAGGAGTGTATTGTCAGCTACCCCCTCACAATCACCAATCAAAAAAAAAAGATTAGATGGAAGCCAAAATAATGGGAGCTGAGGATGGGAGGGAAAAGGGGGCGAAGCTTTCCTTCTGGGAACCCAACAAAACGTCTGCAATGAGAAATATGGTACTAGCCAACATCATCCGCCCATGTCCGAATATTGATTCGCACCAGGGGTACCCCACCTCGGGGAAAAAGGGGGAAAAAAGGGCCTCATGGAACTATTGTCCTGCCTGGCAGTGCCCACCTCGGGAAGGTGGAACGCCCATTTTGTTCAAACACCTTTCTAGGTGGTTGCAAAAGGGACACCAAGTAGGCAAGGCCACCATTTGTGGAGTTCCCTCATGTTAAGATACACCTGGCAGTCGCGAAACATACATGCCGCAGTTCCTTTTTTGGATTGGCTCGGTGCTGTCGGCATGTATCACCTTTGAAATGGGGTACCAAAAAGGGTCTGTCAATTTGACAAGCCCCAAAAAAAGAGCTTTGAGGTGTGACATTCGGAAGCCCTTTCAGGAGCTTCCAGATTGCCTTCATCGACCACGAGAGCAAAGGCGCGCAAGCCGATGCTGATGGCATCCACAAGAAGCAGCAGCGCCGCGCCTCGTGCGAAGGGAAACTAGACGAGGGGGCGGGTGCCGGGTTTGAGGGACCAGCCCAAGCAGAGGTGCCCTTACCCCCTTTCCAACAATCATGGAAGTGGCCAGAGGGGTCTCCCAAAAGGAAAATCGCCTTCCAAAACTCTCCTAGTCAGCTTCCATGATGGTTGGAGACATGGTATTCCCTGGTATTGTTTGTGTGGAGGCGGTGTAGCTTGTTCTGGACAGCTGCTGAAAGGACCAAAATGGATTTCCGAACAAAGTGAATGAAGGCAAGCCGCGGTTCGCGACTTCAGATTAGCCTTGCGTCTATGCAAAGGTTGCCTTCCCGAGGCTCCGCCACCAGCCCAAGTTCCAGCCTTGTCGCTTAGCAACCGCTGGGATTTTGGGGCAACCCGTGCCAAGTGGGGGATCTTGCCGGCATGCTGGAGAAAGCGGGCAGGCAAGTTGGGGTGCCCAGTCTGCCAAAGGGGGGTGTCCCTGGGCTTACTGGCAAATCATCACTTTTGGAGGGGCCCCCACCCCCCTATTAGCACAGGTGTATTAATCCGGGGGTCAAAAGCCATTTGGCGAATTTCCCCTGTTGCGGCATCGGTTTGGAGGAGAGCACACTGACCAGCATCCTATTCCCATTCCCAAGAGGGGGTGTCAAAAGCATCCTTCCCCAGCTTCGGGCCAGACTCCTTTGAAAATGTTAGACCCCCCCTTTTGCAGACTGGGAGCCCAAAAAAGCAGTTTGTTTTTGTGGTTTGGAGGGCCTGGTTTGGAGATTCGAGCACGCTGTTTCGAGGTTTGAAATCAAGCATTTCAGCATCTCCGGAAGACCTCCAAACATCCAAAACGTCCAGACATCCAGTGGTGTCCTTGTCCGCCGCTGTGCGTGGGTTTACTGGAGATCTGCCCGACGCAAAGAAAGCCGCAGGCTACTTCAGCTGCCTCATCGACAGTAGCTGCCAGAAGTCTGGCCCCCGCCGGGAGCCGCGACTCAGGGTGGAATTGCCAGGCGAGGGAATGTTTTCTCGCATGGTCAAACCAGCACCACAGAGATCCTCCTATTTATTTAGTGGCACCATGGGCCAGTGCGTCATGTAGCACGACGTTTTCCTTGGGTAGTGGAAATCATCTTAGAGAGACTCGGTCCCATCACTTGGACATTGTTTTGGTTCACTCCCAACTGGTTTTCTTTCGACTAGGGCCCCCCTCCAAAAGGAATCCAGTTTTCAGTTGTTTCCCTCTCATGTTCATCGGTTTTAGGTTTGTCTCCTATATAAGAGTTGGTTCTTTGCATGAGTCTCGGTGCGCAGGTTTCCCCGTCCTTGGGGATGGCAAGGGGGACAACCAGAACCACGCGTCTCTTGGCTGCGTTGATGTGAGGCGAGTTGTTTGCAAGAGGCTGCGTTTGAGCCGCGCCCGAAACCAACTGATGTTTGGTTCTAAGCATTGGTGTGAAGGTTTGACTGCCTTGCAAGTCTATCGTTGAGATGTCTGACATGGGGGCTATCAAACTATGCCTTCCATGATTTATTGTCGAATAGAAGCTCAACATGCAGCTCGACGCAGCTCGACTTTCACTTCAAGCACCTTGCCGAGAAAGCTTCCTGACCCGATGGTTTCATAGGCTTGCTCTTCACATTCTCATCGCCTCAGTCACCTCAGACATCGGGAATGCACTTGTTTTGGGCTTTAAAGGGATGCCAAAGGAAGGCCACCATTTGGGGGGCCAAGTTTAAGACCAATCCAAGCCAATTGATTTTCCCGTTAAGAGGACTGATTCGAATGGGAATTCGTCGGAATCAACTGATTTGATTGTCAAACATATGGCCCCTTGGACCCGTTTGCTGCTGGTACGTGGCTAAGGGCTACCAAAAAGGGCTGACTTTGATTCCTCACTGAATCGCTGAACGAGGATCATTTTCACCCGCGGCTCCATCATCCAGGCCGGCTTCGCTTCGGACCCATGGGCGCAAGGGGCCTCTAAATGGAGCCCCCATGGCGCAAGGGGCTTCCAAATAGGGTTCGTAGCCAATCGGGCACCTCAACAAAGGCCTCCGCTCGGCTGGACTCGGGTCACCTGCGACCAAGCTTGTCCCTGGAGCCTCCTTCTGACCCGAAATAAAAGTTGGTCCATGACGAGTCCATGACCCGTTAATTTTGGGTAGTGCTCCTGGTTTTTTACGCGTCATGGAGACTCCACGTACTGTGATTGTACTTGTAGTTGGGGGGGTTTTGCAGTGCACAAATAGAGCTTTGTCAGCGCTCTGGTTCTGATGCTATCTTTGGTGCATTTTGCCAAGGGATGTTAGGACTTTAACTGTTTGCCAACTAAGTCGGGTTTTCCGAATTAAACCACCAAGACTTATTCACTTGTAGCCGGGGATCAGATTTCGCAACCGAGATATTGCTTCGTTGCAAGGATCAGAGCCACGATCAGTCCGAGGAATCGGAAGTGTTCAGACATCGGCTGGCTTCGCTTTTTACGCCCGGTTTTTGGACCGGGGTTCAGCCGTTTGGACTTCTTGGGGGAAGGGGGGGTTGGCGTTGCATCCGTCGATTGAGCACGTGCCATGAGCGGCTAGGCCATTGATGCCAACCAGGGCGGGTACTTTGAGCAGATGCTTCTGCGACTTGGAAGCAGAGATGAAACATCGCCCCCGCAATACCCTGCTTTCAACTTGCTGGTGCGATAGGCAGGGAATTAGTTGGAATAACGCCTACAAGCCCCTACGGATGCCGGGCAGATGTTTTCCTGCCATCAGTGCTGGGGAGATTCACTGCAGGGCCCAGGGCAGCTTAAAGCTTAAGCGCCCCTGAAGCCGGCTACAGCCAATCGCCATTTCATCTTGAAAACAGGGCCTCCTATCCACTTCCATGATTGGAAAGCCGTCATGGAGCGGCGGAGTGTCTTTCGAGCTAGGGTTTCTCACACTTCCGCTGGATCCTGAGCACGGCGGCTTTGTGTTTCGAAAAGGTCCTCACATGTTCCCTTCTGGGATGCAAACGTCACCTGCGTGGAAAGGCCAACGTGGAGTGATCTTTGCCCAAACACCAAGTTGTTGCAGATGAGTTGCTTGGGGAACCCCATTTGTGTGATTTTGCGATGATCATGCCAAAAAAGGACGCAGAGTTTTGATACAGCACGGGGCTGAATAATATGCAACCCCCTCCTTGTACAGGGTGGAAGCCAAATAATAGAGGCTCTGTTCCTGGCCCAGAGGAACGCAAGCCCAGCTGTTGTGGAGGAGCTCGGGGTTGCAACATGCATAGCCAGGCCCGATTCGGTCTGGAAGCTAACTGGGTGTTTGTCCAGCATCAGTTCAAATCATAGACTAATTATGGGGGGGGGGGGGCTTTTTTTAGGGGAGTCCCAACTAAGTACTGAGGCTTGTCTTCTCCCGGCTGCGCAAAGGATCAGACTCTCAGATAGTTCATATGAATGGCTCGTGTTTTTGTGAGTTTGGTACCATTTTTTGTGGTTTTGCAGGGAAGCCAGAAGGAGAACCACATATTTTGGGGGGCAGGTGGTGTAAACATGTTTAGACGGGTGATTGGCCCAACCACGCTTCAGAAATCAGCCAAGAACACCTTGTAGTTGTTGTAAGCCAACCCTAAACCCACTCCTGAAACCTTGACCAACCGCAAATTTCCAAGAAGCTGGCCCCACCCCCAGCCCAACCCCCAAAGCCCCAAACCCCCAAACCCCCAAGCCCTAATTAAGCTCCACACCCTTACCCCACTCCAACCCCTCACACGCCAAGGCTGCCCTGCGCGCTGGGCGAGTTCCGCCGCAAGGGCACCGGCGGCCTGAACCCCCGCATCGTGGGCTTCGCCGAGCACATCACCAGCGCCTCGCGCGTAGTCCGCTGTGCCGTTCGGGGGGAGAAGCGGAGAAGCTCGGAGGTGCAGCCCAGGCAAATGCCCGGCCTTGCCGCTTTCAGGCGGATTTTCAACAACCTGGTTATTCATGTCTATGTGTTTGTTAGGGATTGCAAACCACATTCATTATACCCTTAAGTGCAGGGGTATCATTCTTTGCCCTACTTCGTATGGATGTCGAAAACGTACGTGTATTGTTTCGGGTTTTGCCACACGGCGGTTTCGCCGGAGTGGGGGGCACTTCTTCGAGTAACCCCCAGTCAACCTGCAGTCTAAACCCCGTAAATCCAGGTGAGCTTTACTATCCATGTAGCAAGCCCCCAGACTCCAGACCATCTAAGACTGGGGCACACTCGCTGCGGCTCGCGCCTGGCCCGTCTTTTAGCTTAGTGGATCCCAGGTGTTTCGCATTTCGGTAGGGAACCCACTAGGTGGGAAAGCCATTGTTACTGCAGGCACCTGGAATCACCGGGTTACAGCTCAGGTGAGGTCCAAACGGCTGTTCTTTTGCCGTTTTGGCAACCGAGCATTGGACATTTGACTGAGGGTAGTGAGGTGCCACTGTGCTACAATCAAAACCCCAAGCACATGGAGTCAACCGCAGGAGGGTTGATTTCCATTGGTTTCCGTTCAAACCGTCCCAGAGTGAGTCACTTGCCGGTTGGACAAAGGTTCCCCGTTTGGACAAAGTTCACAGTTTTTTCGAACGCCTACTCCTTATAGAAGCCGCCCCTGGTGCAAGTCGCGGCCAACAAAAACAACAAGCAACTCATACAGTTGTCCCCTTATACAATAACACCCCCTTATCCAGTACCCCCCCCCCCCAACAACTGCTTTTTCCCGTGTCCAAAATCCCAAGAACTGTTCGAAAAGCGGTGGTTGGAACGGTGGGTGAAAGGAACGGCTCGAAAGCCGCCCATAGAACGGCTTCCCGGGCCGATGGGTCAGGCGACATCGGGTCCTTGGGTGACTTCGCCGCCGGCGCCGAGACGGCCTTCGGCACGGTGCTGCAGCGCAGCTACGCCCGGGGCCCATTGGGGACTCAAAAGACCCCAGAATTGGCGCCCTTGTCTCCTGCAACCTTCAGCGGGTGAGTGGTGTTCGTTTTGAGCAACCATTGGCTGCAATAAAGCAATAGCAAGGACAATTTTTTAGATGATGAAACTGCCTGCAGACGGATATATTAAACTGCGCCAACGTTGCGCGCGACGTCGCTCGTGCTGCGCCGAAGCCGTCGTTTGCGCTGCCACCCTGCGCAAGAGCGCAATATGTTTTATTCCATTTGTCGAAGGTTCTGTTTGAACCCCGTGGATTACATTTCAGCGCCTTTTCTTTTGGACTTGTTGTGCCTCATTTGAATCTTTTTTACGTCCCTTTCGGGGCGTTTCCTCTTTGGAGCTTTATTGAAGCTTTCATATCCTTTCTAAGAAGGAATGCATACAACTCAGGCAGAAGACAGAAGGTTCCTGAACCGCGTCCGGCACAAGCTTCCTATTTCAAGCGTTTGTGCACATGTTGGCGCATCTCCTACTTCAGAGTTGAATGATTGAATCCTAAAGAAACATGAGCAAGAACACATCAACTAATCTACAGCGATCGTATTCCCAAATGTTGGTTGACTTTGACAAATGGTTTACATATATGCAGCTTGACTTTTGTATGCTATCTACTCAGGAAGTAGGCTTCAACATGAACAAGGCAAAACATCTATCTGGCCTTGCAGAACCTTTGTTGGAGGAGGGATAGCCCACTTGATACGGCAGTTATATGCTCCAGCCACAATCCACACGCACTTATGTGAAGCCAGCCAAAAGATCTTGGTGCGGAATACCAACAATGCCCTTTGTTTTCTTTATCATGGGTTTTTGGGCAGACCATTTAAGTGACCAAGTTTGATGGTGACTCAATGTAGGAACATAGGCATGTTGGACCCCGCAAATGGGTGGTTCCCCTTTGATTGTCCTTTAAACCAGCCGCAAAATACCAGCTTAAACATCCAAGTTGGCGGCTTTTTCAAGCCGCTTTCCCCTCAAGCCAGTCTCATTTGGGAAGACAAAAGAACAGCTCCCCTTTGTTTTTGTTTTGTTGACCAACCCCTAAATAGTAGCTCCAACCATTGGAATAGCCGTCCCTGAAAACCCCCATACATCGACCGCGCTGAGGCTTGGCTCGGAGCGCGCATGCACTACGGCCACCCAGCGACTCGTCATTTTGATTGTGGCGACCCAAACTGTTGGCAAGCACGTCAAGGTTTCCTCGAATTCTCCCTTAAAAATATTACCCACTTCAAAACAGCTTCAATTGAACTCGCCCAAACGGTGATATCCAATATTCACGCAAGACGGGGGACAGAAACCTGCAACTTCCGCAGGGTACTTCCTTTTGCCGCGTGGTGAAAAGACGGCCGCATGTTGGTTGCGAAAAGGCTCCGTTTGGACGGAAAAAGCTGCCATGTCGAGTTCAAAGGGTGCCGTGCGCAGCTTTGAATTTGCAAAGCTGTCTTTGAGGCAAAACACGTTCCGTTTTGACAGGAAACGCTGTTGTTTGAGCAAAGAGCTGGACACCAGGAATCGGGCCCCCCCAAAATGGCAAACCCCCGTGCCCATAAAGAACTTGAATAGAAACGGCACGATCTGTTTTGCTTGCTTTGCTTTTCTGGCTCAGGACTCTTCTTTGGATCCTTGGCCTCCAACACTTGGATTTTCGATCGAACCTCCAAGCGCTGCATTGAGAGGGGTCGGTCAACTCGGGCAATACGAGGGCTTATTCATGTTTGAGCAACCATCAAGCTCTTCAGATGCCATATATGTTTATATAGATCTATACATAGGCGATGTATCAATGTAACTGATTCCACGCTTGCCGCTTAGACACGTAGGTCTACAACCATCCCGTTTTCCTTTTGGTTTTGGGGTTGGGTGGTTCCCCTTTCCCCACACAAAAAAACCGCCGAACCGCCCGGGAAAAATGGACCCGGGAAATCCGAAAGGACATGATGAACAAGGAGTTCATGATCCAGCAGGGCGGTGTCTCGAAGGCCACCAAGACGGTGAACCTCTCGGAGGAGCGGAGAAAAAACATCTGAAGGGGTATTTATTTTAGGATTTTTTTTTCCGTTTTTTTTTTTTTGGTTTTTTTTTCGCTTCTGGCTTCTTGGCTTCTTGGCTTCTTGGCTTCTTGGCTTCTCGGCTTCTTGGCTTCTTGGCTTCTTGGCTTCTCGGCTTCTCGGCTTCTTGGCTTCTTGGCTTTTCGGCTTCTTGGCTTCTTGGCTTCTCGGCTTCTCGGCTTCTGGGCTTCTTGGCTTTTTGGCTTCTTGGCTTCTCGGCTTCTTGGCTTCTTGGCTTTTCGGCTTCCTGGCTTCTTGGCTTCTCGGCTTCTCGGCTTCTGGGCTTCTTGGCTTTTTGGCTTCTTGGCTTCTTGGCTTCTTGGCTTCTTGGCTTCTTGGCTTTTCGGCTTTTCGGCTTCTTGGCTTCTCGGCTTCTGGGCTTCTAGGCTTTTTGCTCGTTTATGCGGCTTTTGGTGGCTTTTTGGCTTTTCGCATCCTCTGCATTCCCAGTTCCTCTTCGGCAGGTGGCGTTTTTCCGACATCATGGGGGGGGCTGCCGCCCCCCCCAACCCCCCCGCTACGTTTTAGATTTTCTGCAGAGATTTAATTAGTTGCACCCCTAGTTGAATCATCAATTCTTCGAACATCATGGGGGGGTTGCACCCCTAGTTGAATCATCAATTCTTCGACCATCATGGGGGGGGGCTGCCGCCCCCCCCAACCCCCCCGCTACTTTTTAGACTTTTTGCAGAGATTTAATTGCACCCCTATTCAAATCATCACTTCTGCAAACAACATCGTGGGCGGCAGCCCCCAACCCCCCCGCTGCTTTTTATATTTTTTTACAGGATTGACATGCCCTCCTACTTGAATCATCATTTCTTTGACCCCGTCACACGATTTGTGGGTGATGCTAGGGATGTTGGTGGGACATGCGGGGGATGTTGACGGGCTAGTGTAAAATGTGTCAATTTCGCGAGAACATGCTACACTTTACTGGCCCGGCAGAGATTGAATTGCACCCCTGTTTGAATTATCACTTTTTCGAGCGTCCAATTTCGCGAGAAAATGCTGCAAAATACGACATTTTAGGTAATCTGTGTAGTCCGTGTATGTCTGTAGCCCCCCCGCTACGTTTTAGATTTTCTACAGAGATTTAATTAATTGCACCCCTAGTTGAATCATCAATTCTTCGAACATCATGGGGGGGGCTGCCGCCCCCCCCCAACCCCCCCGCTACTTTTTAGACTTTTTGCAGAGATTTAATTGCACCCCTATTCAAATCATCACTTCTGCAAACAACATCGTGGGGGGGGCTGCCGCCCCCCCCAACCCCCCCGCTACTTTTTGTATTTTTTACAGGGATTGACATGCCCTCCTACTTGAATCATCATTTCTTTGACCCCGTCACACGATTTGTGGGTGATGCTAGGGATGTTGGTGGGACATGCGGGGTATATTTCGCGAGAACATGCTGTAAAATACGACACTTTACTGGCCCGGCAGAGATTGAATTGCACCCCTGTTTGAATCATCACTTTTTTGAGCGTCCAATTTCGCGAGAAAATGCTGCAAAATACGACATTTGAGGTAATCTGTGTAGTCCGTGTATGTCTGTATGTATGCATTTCTTCGAACATCATAGGGGAAGCCACCCCCGCCAACCCTACCGCTGCCTTTTAAATTCTATCACACCCTTTCTTGAATCATTGCATCCCTACTTGAATCACCACTTCTTCCGACATCATGGGGGGGCTGCCGCCCCCCCGCTACGTTTTAGATTTTCTACAGAGATTTAATTAATTGCACCCCTAGTTGAATCATCAATTCTTCGAACATCATGGGGGGGCTGCCGCCCCCCCCCAACCCCCCCGCTACTTTTTAGACTTTTTGCAGAGGTTTAATTGCACCCCTGTTCGAATCATCACTACCCCGCTCTGTTTTTCTTAATTGTTTTTTTTTGTATGTTTTTTTGCTGGGATTGAAATGCCCTCCTGTTTGAAGCATTATTGTTTTGACCCCGTCAACCCGCCAGCTACATTTTTGGATTTTGTTACCCACGATTTGTTGGTGATGCTAGGGATGTTGGTCGGACATGCGGGGGATGTTGAAAACGATGCTGGGGATGTTGACGAGCTAGTGTAAATGCGTCAATTTCGCGAGAAAATGCTGTAAAATACGACATTTTGCTGGCCCGGACGAAAAACGAAAAAAAAAAAATCTAAAAAAAAATAACGGAAAAAAATCCCAAAATAAATCCGCGCTCAACGCGTTGGGTGTGTCTTTGTGTGTGTGTGTGTGGGGTTCTTTTAGGATTTGAAGTTTGGATGGGTTACCTTTTTGGTAGGCGTCGGGTGTCAGTTTGTGTATTTTAACAGTGGTTTGTTTTCGTGTTCGGATGGGATGGAAAACGGGAAACCAACAGTAAACTGATTCGGGCAACCCAGAAAGGTGGTTTAGACTGGTTTGGATTTGGATTCGAACCCGTGGGGTTTACCACCCCGGAACACCGCCAAACCGGGCTCCACCGTTTTTGAGGCAATCTAAGAAGTGGAGTTTCCCAATAGAAATCGGTGCCCTATGGTGGATTCCTTTTGGGATTCCCGAATCCCATTTTGAGAAGCACCAAGGCGGTTGGCCGCCCAAGCCTATGAGTTATGGGCGCTGGGGACACTGCTTTCTGATTGAATGATGAATAGAAAATTGATGAGTGTGTGGTGGTTTCGCTGTTAAATCAATGTCAATTCTAGGTACCTTCAGTACGTAGCTGGGTTACAACAAGTGTACCCTTTTGAGATCGGGAATGCGAGCGTTTTGGCACTTATCCTCCACAATGAAGAGTGTTCCCGCTGGTTCAGCAGAACAATGCAAATTCCCCCTAGTCATAAACATGCTCCCCCCCCCCGCAATTCATAGATCCTGTCCAGAACAAATATGTGTTTCCCGCGTGATACTCTTGTTTTTGCCAGACGAATGTAGTGTTGGGGAGTTTTTGACTTGGGGGAATGATTCTTCATAACTAGCTGCGTCACGGCGTTTCGCTTTAGCTTGGTTCGAATTCTGTACGTACTTTGTCCAATGGGCACATAGCTCGTGCAAACAAGTTGTGAGGCACCTGTCAAGTGACATCATGACTTCACGAGGACCATGATCTCAACGTGTCATTTGGCAAAGTATTTGTGGAACAGCAACCTGAGCCCAAGCGGAGAGGGAGTTCCTGGAGGGTCCATTAGAGAGCCTAGGGAAGTCGAAGTTTCGACACATTCGACTAGCCTGAAAACGAGCTTTTGAGTGATTTCACAGCGGGTTCTTGGCTGTTGCTGCGGGCAACAAAGTAGCAGCAAGACGTCACGCGAATCACGCAGAAACCCACAGCAGAATTTCACAATGGTTTTTGGTGGGGTTGCTGTTACTTTGTTTGATGTTACGTCCGTGTGGAATTTTGCGTGAGGTGGCTGCAAGCAGCCGCATAGCATTTTGCTGGCATGCCGCCTGGGCGTTTGTGTCTGCACAGTCTCAGTGGCAGGACATCTTCGCCGGCATGGATTTCACCCTGAGGCAGGACGAGCTCAGATGTCTCCTCCCAGAAGAGTGCCGTTTCGTTTGACGCTTCCCTGTTTCCCCTTCAAAGGCTGCAATGTACTGGTGGAACTGACGCGTGTTGGGCAGGTTTTTGCCTACACATTCAATGTGTGCTGCGTAGATGGCATGAGTTTGAGTCTTAGAGTCTTGCTGAAGCACAAGTTTGGAGTTGATCAAAGTGACGCGGCTAAATTGGGAAGAACCACTTTACACTTTGAATCAGAGTTGGGCGTGGCGAGAATTCAGGACAAATTGGACAAATCCCCAGACTGTCTTTGTATATTGGCAAACATAGAGTCTAGGTGTCCTTGGCACGGATTTTTGGAATTCCCTTTGGCGTCATTGCCTGCGCATTGGAATTTCAGGATGGAAGCCTTTGGGAGGCAACTCGATTTTGATTTGGCACCGCTGGCACGGATTGCAAGCTGTTTGGGGTTCAATTTAGTGGAAAGTGTCCAGGTTTCTCGACTTGTTTTGAAGTTGGCGTGTCTTAAAGTGGGGAGACCGGAACCCCAAATTTGGTGGCTTGCTGTGGGGTGTCCCTTCAGAGCAACCCCAGGGCACCGAGTCTGAAAAAGCACGGCCATATGTTGACCTCTCACTGTCATGCCCGCCTAATTCGGCAGGAAGCTCCGCCTTGAATTGCTTTAACTGGCTCGGATTGAGAGTACAAGTCTCTGGTGAACCCAATGACTGGGTCTGACAATTAAAGTGAGTCATATTGAGTCATCCTCTTGGGGCCGCGTGAGTCTTCCTCTTTGAGAGTTTGAACATGCTTGCTGGGGTTTGGAAGGGAGCCTTGCGGAGCTGGGGGGGTTTCCAACTTCGCGGCTAAAAAGGGAGCCGGAGCCGGAGCTACCGAAATGGAGTTCTGTAAGGGCTTGGTAGCATCATCTTCCATTTGTTTCAGTTTCCCTTGGTGGTTTTAAAGGGAATCCATCACTACTGGACATATTTTCCGTGTTTTTCTTCCCCCAGGGGCGAAACCGGAAATGGACGTCTTGGAACCCAACCTTTCGACCGTTCGAGCGGTCGTGCGCGACTCCAGGGGCAACGGGCGCAACATCGTGCATCGGGAGTACATGCACGTCGCCAAGGGCCGAGATCTTGGCTTCAACACGGCATCTCGGTTGGGTTAGGCGGTTGTGGGCGGTTTCTGCTTGTGTCTTTGGAATTTGGTTCCCTATGTTGGCTTTAACGAACATCCAACAATTCAGGGATCTGCCACATTGAGTTTTAACCCCATTATATTGCATTTTTTAACAAAATGAGCAAAACACACCCATCCAGCAATTGAGGGGTGTGTCATTTTGAGAAACCATGTTGAGTTTGTGTCCGCCCTTCTTGCTTTGCGAGATTCGAAACCTTGCTTGCAAGTCAAGGTGTTGCTATGGGGGAAAAGGACGCCCATAGCAGCAAAACAACAAAAACAAAGAACACAATCAACAATCGTCAAACAACAGGGATCCAAATGCAAAAAACAAAAACAAATAAGGAACAAGGAACTCCACCATCAGTCAAACCGGTGCACCACAAAACAAACATCCACACCAGGACGCCCAAGAAATTGAACCCAAAAGGAACCCAACGAGACACACACACACACAGCACAACAAAACAACGAACAACTGCAAAACACAGGGTAAGACAGCAGAAAGCAATTGGCAACAGTAAAATCAAGAGAACCCTCAGGAGAAACCAACAGCCAAACAGCAATCTCAACCACACAACACACTGAATGCAACATCAAGCCAAGTAACAAGCACGACATCTACCACACCAAACGTCAACCACGGCAAACGTCAAAACATCACCGCAACAACCTCATACACCACCCACATCCCAAATCCCCCCCAACCCCCTCCCCCCCTTCCCACTTTCGCGGCGTCGGGATCGGCGTGGAATCGCAGCCGAGGTGCTGACCTTCTTCTCGAAGCTCTCCGCGGGCACCGGGGAGCAGCTGCTGACGCGGCAGATGCTGCGCTTGGGCCACGAGCTGGCGGGGCCGCTTCGGATAGGGTTATCCGAGGCTCCGGAAACCCCCCAAAGGGAGGCTGAGGTTGAAGTTGAAACCCCCCAGAAAAGGGAAGACCACCATTTTATTTTTGTTTAATGTTTGTGTTTCATGTTCTCATTTTTGTTTTGTCTTTCTTTTTGTGGCGGGGAGTTCACCTATTAAGAGACAAGCACGTGTGGGGGGGTTGGTGATGCCCGTCGGGGAGAGGTCTACTTCTATGTCCTGGTGAGTATTCCTGCTGGGTGCTTATCAAAGTTGGGGTACCTTGCAATTGGCAGGTTGGTTTCCAATCAGTTTTCCTTCAACTTCCACTCAAAAGGGATTGCATCACATGGAGAAACACCCTTATGCCATGTTTTAGACTCTGTTTGCTTTCATTTGCCCATAGAAGTCTTACCACTCCAATACATCAACTGCACTTCAACGCGCAGTCTGCAGGCCCAGTGTTGCTATGCTTGCCTGCAGATGTTGTCCTTGTTGCACTTTATAACATCTGCTGAAAGTGTTTGAATCCTAATTTCCCCTTAGCAAGCAATGGGACGTTTTTCAAGCTATGCTCTGTCCGGCAGTCACTATCGGAAAGCTCCATTGGCATGTCTACGTTGTCTTTTGAACAGGATTTTGCCCCATACACCCCTTGTCAACTGGATGGTTCCCCACAGTTTCCCAAGGCTTGATCCTTTGTCGAAACCTCTAATTGTCCATGTTTGTTTACAAGTTGTTAACCAATAATTGTCCACCAGTTGTTTCGATTTTATCAGGTTTTTCTCAATCATCAAAAATGTGGGATCAAGGGGTTTATCCCCACTTCTGTGATACAAGGGAATCTCCTTTTCTGGGGGGGTTAGTCTTTTGGGAAGCCCTTTTTGTTGTATCACAGAAGTGGATTGAATTTCCCACAGCCCTGTTCTCCATTGTCCAGGCTTTTTGACCAACTTATCCACACCTGGCTGTGGGTTAAAACCAATGGTACCATTTTCGGGTAGGTGAATTCACCACCCATTTTAGAACCTACTTTAGTGGTTGGATTGGGATGTTCACTGGGGGCTAACGATTTGGGTTTTGACCCAGGGCCACCTCAAACCCTGGAAAAAGGAAACCACCCGCCAGGACCTGCCCGAGTTCCTGACGCGCCTCGGGGTGCGATCGATCCATGCGGACCTGGATTTTCGCGTGAGGTACGGATGAATCCGTCTAGGACCCTCAAACTTTGTCCTGAAAAAGGGGAAATACTATAGTATTCAGGGAAACCGACTAGGAGGGATACGGGGGGAACCAGGGATACGGGAGGATTCCCCCTAAATGCAGCTTGACTAAGCTTGATATGGGAATTGGCGCTAAGGGAATTCCCACATATTCCCGCTCCCTCCGTATCCCCGCTTGTTCTTTTGTCCAAAGTATTGCAACCCTTAAAAAGGTATCCTCAAACAGGTGTTGCAACCCTCAATCCAACTACCCACAGTTTTAGGCTGCAAAAAGTCTAGTTGGAGGGTGGCTCGAGCGTCCAGGTAGGTCAAATGTTGGCATACGTTACCTACATGGATTGTTTGGGAACGATTCCCTGACACTTTTCGAGGTCCAAACAACAGCTGGGTCATAAAAGGATACGATGCTGGCCGTGTTGATCATTGCACTTGTATCAGCTGATTAGAGGATCTCATTGTGCTCGTGGTTTGGCATGTTTGGCAATGAATCGTTTGGGGAACCGTGATGGGTGGCCGTTGTCAAATGTCATTGTCAAGGACCCTGTAGCGATTTCAGACAACCACTTGGCATCCGAAAAAGCAAGCCAAGACCATGAGCCGCAGATTCAGAGTTTTGACCTGGACATGCAATTCTCGAAGTGGCTGTAAGTTTTGATGGGGAGCCGCCTCAAAAAAGGGAACATACATTTCCGGATAATGTCCACCAGTGGGTTCCGAATTGAAATTTATAGCCAAAGGGATTTGTTTCTTGACATTTCTTGAGGGAAGTTCGAAAGCCTAGACTGAGACTAGGTTCTACTACGCCCACGCGGGGTACTACCTCACCCAGTTCTTCCTGTCTAAAAGTGCCCGGGCCGAGATGTCGGCTTGCTCGCACGCAGAGGTGATACGAGCAGCTGTCTAATTTTCCTGTTGCCTACTCTAGCAACGCGGAAGAGAAACGGGCGCAGGCCACACACAACAATTAAGCAAATGACAAGTCTATTGGTTTTTGGGAGGACATGGGGGGACAACCAACAAGTCACTTTGTCCTGGGCTCGTATCAGGCTTCGGTTTTCATCAGGTTGTCGAACTCAGAGAAGTGTACCCTCAAAACAAGGCAGCCCGTGACACGGCCATACATCCTCTCTTTGACACTTTGGACATCGGAAGAACTTTTGGCCTGCGTGCCTTTCGTTCCTTGTTTTTGGAGGGGGTTCCCTTTACAGACAGCCACCACCAACAGGTACCTTTTTGCCCCTAGGGTGTGGGAACAAGAAAGAGGAAGCCAGGGAGCGCCAGCAGGTCCCCTCAAAGCTGGTCGATGGCGCATGCACGCATTTCGGGTTTAGCATCGCTTCAAGCAGAGTCTGTTTGGGCCTTGAAAAACACCCTCTACAAGCTATGGGAGCACCCTCTATAAGCTATTCTTCTTTTAGGATTCTAGTGCTCCCTTCCCCATTCTTTCCAGGCATCCTTCTTTCCAGAAAACCTCCGGAAACCCAGGGAAACGGTCGGTTTTTGAAAAGAACGATGGTTGAAAAAAATGGAACAGGACTCAACCCCTAGAAGGATGTCAACATCTCATCTAGCGCCGGCAATCCAGTTGGTGGCATCCCGGACCTCTGCTTTTCTTTCGCTCGGTGTGTCGGACACTTGGACTTTCCCTCCTCTTGGCATGGGGTGAGCGGGGATCGCCTGGCATTGTAAGTGCGGACAACTTCGGTTGTTGACCCCACCGATTGCAACCGGAGTCATGGAGCTGACGACCAGTTGAAAGTTGGGCGCATGTTCTTTTCAAGGAAAATCCAGAAGGACACCGAAATTCAATTCCTTCCTACATACAGTGTTACAGGAAACACTTGGACTGGTCCAATTCTATTGTTTTGAGGCTTTCAATTCTGTCCAATTCCTTGATAACCTGCCAAATGGCCCTTCGTCCACTTCTTACCTCTCCAGTTTCCATACTTCAAGTTGTTTAATTCCAGCTGGCTTCATCATTTTAGCCTATCAAAATAAGCCCAAAATGGCTCATCAAAAATGGCCCCAAGCTTCATCATTTAGGCCTCCAGATGGCTTTCTTTCCAAATGGCCCATCAAAGTAAACCACCTTTGAGGGCAGTACCGACGGTAGCGGTGAGGTATCCCACTGCTGGTCTTTATCTGGCTGCTGGTGGTGCTGGATGACCCCGAGCAGAACTTCCCGGCCATGGACCCAGGCGAGTTTTTTTTCCCCGGCTTTCCCTTGCAAAACCCGTGAAAAGGCAACCCAAAGTTGCTTATGTCCAAGTGGATATATTTGTTTAACTCGGTGGCTCCCCGCCATCCGCTTAGCCTTTTAGCTTTTTGGTGTTGAGTGGTAGTTTCCATTTGTTTAAGAATTTTCGGAGGTTTGGTACCCACAAAATGAGAGCCACAAATGTTAGTTGACCCTGCGGGTGCCAGAGGGAACTACCCTTCGGAACCAACTTGGGTTCCTATTGGTTTCTAAAGGAGGGGACACCCCTTGGTTGCCTACTATGCAGGGAAATGGAATCACTGGGTAACATTACACGCATTGTTTTCTCCAACCTTTGCATAGCTTCTTTCTGACCAAAATGTTACACCATTCTTCACTGTTTTTGTAGTTTCTGCATGGATGGCTAGTTTTACAGGTGCTATGGAGTGGATATTGGGTAAAGGTGCATGTGCTGAAGGTGTTTCCCTGAAAAGCTTTGCTTTACTAATGATCACCCCGCTTTAGTTTGGGTGGTGCCCCAAGCTCAATTATTTGGAACCAATGGCAGACTTCTGTTTGTCTGTTAGGAACCCTATTTGAGCGGCCACGGTGACTTAGTCGCGGACCTCAAGACTAATGTGCAAAGTTTTTTCAAGGGCGAAGTTGAGTCCTGAATGGATGGCATCCGGCAAACCGTGTACATGTTACCGCACGCGTGCGGACATTTTAGGCACCTAGAGGGCCCCTATTGGCCAGGGGTGGGTTCATGCTCCAGCCTTGTGGCACACCGCGCGGCGTTTATTTTTTGCATAGGTGTGTCGGTTTTTGAGTTTATCTTGAGGGGAGACTACAGGAAGTTCGGGAAAACCACCAAACTTTGGCGGTTAGAAAGGCGAAAAATTGAATCTTCCAACCCGCATCGCCAGATGACAAAAGCGAGAGTGGCGCGGTCATCGTCGCGCGCATGC